GCAAACGACTCGATGGCACATAACAACAACAACAATTCTTCAATATTGCAACTAACAGCTTGTATTTTCTTCTTCTTCAATCTCAAGAAATACCAAATGTGTTCTTCTCTTTTAATTTTTAACTCCAGTTCTTTGTTCATTGCATAATATTTTACTTTTTCTTCTTAAGCTACCCTTTGAAATCTTTTGTTCAGCTCTCTTCATTTATCATTTTTTCCATTCACATTAGCACCTCTGTACTTTACAGCAGTTTTTGCTATTTTTCCATTTTTTCTCTTTTTCATAAACTGAATGTATATATGTATGTGTATATATATGACATAAGAAGGATTAGCACTTTATAATATACATTATACATTTATGCAAGTTTCAATTTTTAAAAGATATTTCTTATTTCTCTATTTGTTCTTTCTTCTTCAGAGCAAGGAACAATAATTATTCTCATTAATAAGCTCTGTTCCATTGTGTTTGACAGTAATATTCATGTTTCAAGTCTTTTTTGGCTCCAAAAACACAATTCTTCATTTCCCTGCGCAGTTTGACAGTAAAACTGCATTCCATTCAAATGAGAAGAGCTCAAAGAAATGACAGTGAAATCTATGTGGCTGAATGCCTGTCCCACAAGGATTTTAAGTGCTGACATAACTATTTATTTATGTTATTAAAATTGCAATAATAAAGCTACTTAAATAAAAAAATAATTTGGGAATGAGGTCATTAATGAACTAAACACATTTTAAACATAAATATTATTTTTTTGATTGGTATCAGTCAAATAATGAATTATCTTGAATTCTTAATTTCAGAGAAAAAGGTCAGAGACAACTATACAGGTGCTTCATATAATCAACAGGAAAATGGTAAGATCCTCTGGAAAATTGTTTTAGTCTTTCTTTGAGATTTCAATTGGTCCTTTTTATTTATTGGTGAGAAAAATTTATATTTAGAATCAGCCCATCGAGTAGGACTCAGTTTAGATGATCTCAATTTTGTTGGCAACATCCAAAGCATCATAGTCAGGAGCAAGTCGAACATATGCCTTCCTCTCTCCATCAGGCCTAATCAAAGTGTTGACCTTGGCCACATCGGTGTCACAGAGCTTCTTTACAGCTTGTTTAATTTGGTGCTTGTTGGCCTTGACAATGAACACAAGTGTGTTGTTATTTTCTCTCTTCTTCATGGCTGACTCAGTGGTCAGGAGAAACTTGATGATGGCACAGTGGTCAAGCTTGTTTCTCCTGGGGGCGCTCTTCTGGAGGTACTTGGGCTGCCTTCAGAGTCTCAGCATCTTAAGCTGCTGAAAGGTGGGTAACATGCAGATCTTTTTTTTTTGGCTGTGGATTCCCTTTATGACTGCCTTCTTGGCCTTTTAATGCCTTTGCTTTGGCTTCAGTTTTGGGAGGGGCAGGGGCTTCCTTCTTCACTTTTGGCACCATCTTCATAGAAAAAGAGTTAGTCCTTTTATTGGTAATCAATTATGATGCTATTGCTGTTGTGTGCTGTGAAGTCAGAACCATCTCATAGCAGAACCTCCAGTGGGCTTTCAGAGGCTATAAATAGCAGGGGAGGAGACAGCCCTTCTTTCGTCCACAGAACAGCTAGTGGATTCAAACCTCATGCCTTTGTGTTGGCACCACAGTGCAGTGGAAAGCCTAACCACTCGGCCACCAGAGCTTCCACCAGAGCTCCCTAAACCATTATGTTAGCATCCTTATCATTTCCTTTGATCTTTGAATTATCATAAGAGTTTTCTGGGTCATCTATGACTAACAGAAGGGGAAATCAGAGGACATACGCATGGCTTTAGGAATCTTTTGCAGACCCAGGACCAAAAAGGAATGAGCGTACACAGATACAAACCATCACCCCAGGCTTGAGCACCTCACTGTGACAAGACCAAGTAGAAATGTCTGTACTTCTATATGCAGGATGCACTGACAGTGTGACCAACAGGCCTCAGAGTCATGACATCCATTCTGTATCTTCTTTCTATCTTTTTTAATGACATGCTTTCTTCATGTATGATGTCCTCTCATAACTTACTTACAATTTATATAATTTATGTATTTATTATTAACCTCTTTCAACCACAATGAAAGCTCAGAAAATAGGAAGTGCTGTATTTGCTGTCATGTCCCAATGTCAAAAAGATGCCTGGCCTCTACTTAGCACTCAAAAAATATTTGTTGTTTCACCTCTGTGGTGTACCTGCAAAAAACCCACAAACAGTCTAATAATGAGGAAACAGCAGACAAACCAGAATTGAGGGGCAACCTACAAAACAGCTGACCAGTACTCTCCCCAGATCTGTCAAATTATGGAAAGCCAAAAAGACTGAGAAACTGTCACAGACCAGAGGAGACTAAGGAGGCAAGATGGCTAAATGCAATATGAGATCTTGGTTTGGAGCCCACAACAGAGCAAGGCTGTTGCAAAAAAGACTGGTGAAACTCATAAAGTCTAGAGTATAATTATAGTAATGTACTAATGTTGTTCTTCTGTGCCATGGAGGAGCCTACAACTCATAGCGTCCCTATGCACAACAGCTCTAAATCCTGCCCTATCTTGAGCTAGTCTCACTGTCTCTGACACACCTCTTCCCATTGCCCCAGTTACCGTGTCTATCCGTCTCATTTGGGGTCTTCCTCACCTGCGTTGTCCCTCCACCCTTCCAAGCATGTTGTTCTTTTCCAAGGACCGGTCTCTCCAGGCAATATGTCCAATGTATCTGAGATAGAGCTTCAAAATCCTTGCCTCCAAAGAGCAACTAGGCTCTTCATCCTCCCTAGGACAAACCTGTTTTTCTCTTGGCAGTCCATGGTATGTTCAATATTCTTCTCCAGCACTGCAATTTAAAGGCATTGAATCTTCTACTGCCATTCTTATTCACTATCCAGCTCTCTGCAGTGCATAGCAAGTAACTGCGAAGACCATCGCCTGTACTAGGTGTACCTTCATCTCTAGAATGACATCTTTGTTCTTCAGCACATTAGAGTGGTCTAATATTGAGGTTTTAGTTTAGGTAAATGTACCATAGTCACCTAGGGGAAAATTAGTTAAGAGGAATTCTGAAACTCTATGTACTTTGTGACTTTTACGTGAATCCAAAACTATGCTAAAATAAAGTTTGTTGGGGAAAATAAAAAACTAGGCTAAAAAATTTTAAATTGGTGGTCGACCCAGTTCTAATAGCTTTTCATGTTATTTTTAATCTCCGAAACAATTCTATGAAGTAAATGTTATACCCATCACATTGGTGAAAGAAGTTAAAGTAAACTGGCCATGACGAACAGTTAATCCCTGGCAGAGACTAAGCCTGGACAGTTCAGCTCTTGGCTTGCAGTAGGCTATGATGCCTCACACTTAGAGTTCTATTCAAGCTGCACTGCAACCCAAAAGGCACACGGTTCAAAGACCCCAACTTCTCCATGGGAGAAGGATGGGTAATCTCCTGCCAAGCAATTTAACTACCTCTGAAAACCTGCTGGAGGGTTAGCTATGAGTCAGTTTCAACTTGATGGCACACAACATTATGCTTACATTATAAGACATTTTTGCAGCCCATTAGTTATTTCTCTTAGCTTCCCCCCCTTCCCATTACCTGGAAAGTTAGCACATTGAGAATTTCTGATGTCTTAGCTAAGGTTTCACGCTAGAATGCTACATCATCTGCATCACCACTAATAATAATTGTTGTTGTTGTGTACAAAAGAGTCGGAACCAACCCATAGTTGACCCTCTAGCAGGTTTTCAGAGGCAATTAATCACATGGGAGGAGACTGCCCATCCTTCTCACAAGGAGTAGCTGGTGGCCTTGAACCACATGCCTTTGGAATTGCAGCAAAGCTTCTTGCCACTTGGTAATAATAATAATAATAATAATAAAACACAACCTATTGGGTAGTTACCATGTATGCCATGGACTGTATACAATGGGTTAAGTGCTGGGCTGCTAGCCAAAAGGTTCAAACCACAAGCCATTCCAAGGGAGAAAGAGGAGCAGCCTTGCTCTCTAATGATTTACAGCCTTGAAAACCCTACAGAATAATTCTACTCTGTGTTATAAGGTTGTTTTGCACTAGAGTCAATTTCATGGCAGTAGAGGGATAGGAAGGGCTGGTAAGCACAAATATGTCATGCCATCATCATCAAAACAATAGTAGCAGGAGGATATCTTATGATGCCCATTTTGCGGATAATAAACTTAAGACTCAGAGATTACCCAAAATGATGTATCTACCAAATTCTCAGTCCAAATTTACACCCCTGTTTTCATGATTCTGAAGACTCAGCTCTGAGCGACTGCTGTACCATACCTTGTAGAGCACACTCCGATCCCCCATCACACGGCCCTGGGAATGAACGTGTTCACTGCTGCGCTTCCCCTTGACCGTGACGATCCGTTGTACTTCTGGGGGGATGGTCAACTCCCAACTCAGTTCAGTGGTGAGATCCTGGGGTAGGGGCAAAAAGAGCCTGCACTTGTGGTCAGGACAGTACATTTAGCCCTAAGACACAGCTCAAGACATATTCTGTATTTTATCATCTGTGAACCTTTGTGCTGTAAAGAGTTCCCTATGTAGCAGCTGCTCAATAAATTGGCAGTAAGTAGTAGCTACTCAATAAATAAGATCAAATAACTGATTTCAAATTAGACATCAGAATAATGGTGATCTAAGTTTACAACGAAGATACTATGGACTGCCAAGAGAACAAACAGGTCTGTCTTGGAGAGGAGGAAAACAAGTTTCCTTGGAGGCTAGGATTTGAAGCTCCATCTCACATACTTTGGGCATGTGTCCAGGAAAGACCAGTCCTTGGAGACGGACATCATGCTCAGAAGGGTGAAGAGACAGCGCAAGAGAAGACGAACCCAGATGAGATGGATTGACACAGTAACTGGAGTAATGGTGGTAGATGTGACAGAGTCATTAAGACAGGTCAGGACAGGGCAGGCTTCAGAGGTGTTGCACATATGATTGCTATGAGTCGCAGGTGAATTGATGGCACATAACAATAAAAAGTTTACAATAAAATTATTAGCTTAATTCACTTCTTAGCCAGGTAACCAGAAAACATCCACCTTCACTACGGAGTCTTTGGGAAGAGTCTAGGCCCCTTCCCTACCTTTCGAAGCCGGTATCCACTTAGACGTCCCTGCTCTGCATCCACCAAATAGAAGAAGATGGAAGGGGCAAGCTCATGTAGCTGTCGTAAGACATTCCGAGTGGCTGGGAAAGCTGTGACCTGGAAAAATCCAGAATCCAAGAAGAGCTAAAGGATATGCTTAGCAGTCTCTGAGCCCAGTTTCCTAAGACTCATTATTGTTTCCCCATCGGAAGAGAGATTTAGAGACAAAACAACAAGCTTGAAGGAATAAAATATCTACTGAACTCAATTTTGGGCTTAAATTTAGCTCTTAAGAACCCGAGGATTTTAAGGGAGCTCTAGGTGGCCTAGTGGCAAGAAGCTGCACTGCAATCCCAGAGGTACGCAGTTCGAATCCACCAGATGCTCTGCTGGAGGAGGAGGAGTAATCTCCTCCTGTACCAGTCAAATCTAATTTGACGGTACCCACAAAAAAATACTAAAATAAAAGATAAGTTAAAAAAAAAAAAGAATCTGAAGATTTTACAAGAGCATAAACAGCAATCAAATTCCTTAGGTATGTTCTCAGAGCCCAAATATGCACCGTGTTCCATCTCTGGTCCACTACTGTCTCACCACCCCTTTGTCTATACTCAACTCCACTGGGATGTGGTCCATCCACTAAAATTACAGTACCTTATACTCATCATCTATTAGCAGCAACACCTTGGCATAATCTTGATCCATGACGGGTAGAAGCAAGGACTGCAGGATGGGGCGCTTCAGTACTGGGGGAGCCACTTGACTCCACTTTCCAAAAATGGGATTGAAGACATAAAGAGAGCTCATTCCTGTCTCCTGTAAGAGGCAAACTGTCAGATTCCACTAGTACAAAAGGAATATAAATCCTAATGGAAAAATCTGGCAAACTAGGTTTCAGCTCAACTGGGAAAGATTCCCAGTCGGTGCCCTCTACCTAGAAGATAAATTGTTGGCTGAAGGTAAATGGTCTCCTATGCTACCATCAAAAAGAAAAAAGTCAAGTTGTCTCTGGTTCCAAACTTAACCAGAAACTAAAGGTTCATTTAAAAACCGCTTTAAAAAAATTAATGATATATTTTTTTTACTAATAACAAATAAGCTTTCATTAGAAAACTTCAGAATTCACTTAAACATTTCTAAAGGTCAATAAGTGAAGAGGAAGACAATAAAATCCCTCCAGTGGTCAAAGAACAAATAAAAAGATCCAATACCAAGTCTGTGACTTTAGGGCAGCCATTCAAAATGAAAGTCTCAAAGCCTATTCCCAATAACCCTAGATTGAATCCATAAACACACTCTTATTTTGAAAAGCAAAGATGAAATAACTTTGTCTTTCTTTCCTTCATAGAGAGAACAGAAAACAGATGTTAACAACAGCTTACACCTGGGAGAGAAGAGACCTGGCCAACTATAAATCTGATGAAGTCACACCAGTTTCCTAGTTGATTCCAAATTAGTGCTGGATTGTTCCTCCATGCAAATATGAAATGAGAAGGAACAGGGCTCTAACCCTTGATGCTCCTCTCTAACTCACAGAATTCCATGGGCCCAGGAGAGACATAAGTTACAAAACACTAAAAGAGCCCAACCCCATTCGTTCAAATGAGAAGGTGGATCAAAAGCCTCACCTTGTCCTTTACCAGGAGGGTACACTGCGGAGGGTGGGGGAAGTGAGCAGTTGTCCTCTGCACCATCAGTTTAAAGGAGGAGTCTGGCTTAACATTGGGAAGATACTGTTTCCACAGGATGGTACCCGAACTGCTCTCAATGCCAAAAAGCTGCAAGATAAGCAAGCACTTGGCTGACTACTACAAAGACAAGCCAAAAAACTCAACTCTGTTCTTGAGAATGAAAACCAGTGCTAGCCCCTACCAAGAACTTTGTTTCCCAGCTCCTGAACCTCAGAAGGTCTAGTAGTTGGGTCTTAAATCTCTTCTCACCTTGCCTGAAGCTGTTGCCATTACCATCATCTTCTGCAGGTTGAATTCATCCCTGGCGAGGGTATCGATGTTGATCTCATTCTTAATCTGACTTCGGGGCTTCCGAGCATCATAGAACATTTTCCAGAGGTGGGCAGTCCACGCCTGCAACAGGATGAGCTGAGACGAAAGGCGTTTCAGGAACATCCCCAGCAAGCCATCTGGTGTTAAGGAAAAGGTAATGGATGCAGCTGAGTCTGCTCTTCAATAGATCAGATGTTTCTAGCAAGGAGGCACTTGCAGTTCCAGGAGGAATGGATAACTCTCTCTCCAGTGGCACACTCAAGGCATTCACATCCCAGGTTATAAGCCCAAAGGGTAGGCTTGTGCCTGATGCCAATGGTCTCAAACTCAGCACTAGTCATGCAAAATTTACTTATTTGGCTCTTTATCTAATTCAGCTGCCTGGAGATTAATGGATTAGGGGTCAGCCATGCAAGATGTAGCCATGCTGTGAATGTCCCTACTACAGCCCACATCCACAAAAAAGCATCTGGTTGCCATGACATAACCCAAGGAGATGGGAGTGTAGAGGCCCAAGGGTGCAGACATATGTGAAATCATGAACAGTTACTTCCATCTCGCCTCCCGCCTCACCCTCACCTCTTCATTTCTATTTGTCTATTTAACCTGCACCCAACAGACCTGTCTACTTCCAGTTCCCAGGATTATCAACCACTCTATCCCTAACTCTCCGTCAATAAGACCACCATCCTTTAATTGTCCTCCGCAAGGTAGATGTGGTCACAGATGCAGGGCAGCGGAGCACAGAGCATGGTCTCAGTTGCTGGGTGAATCTAAATGCCAGCCCCCTTACTTACTAATATATGATCTCATGAAATTTATTTCGCTTTTTTACTCTAGTTTCTCATCTATAAAATGACATGTTTCCTGAAGGACTGTTACAATGTTCAGGTCACATGGTGTATTAACACGGCAGCTTATACATAATAAATACACAATTTTTTTAAAAATGTCATACCTTTGCTTATTTACCATTTACCTCAGCTCAAGAAAGTGATAGCAAACTGCACAAGTCGCAACACAGCAGGTGACACAAAAACACAGTCTATCCCTCGTTGATAGAAAGAAAAATAACTAACCAAAAGCTAGCCACGCAACGGGCACCAAGGCAGCAAGAAGCAGGCTTTACCTTGAATCGCTGGATCCAGGCAGCAGAAACAAATAGTAAAGTCAAATTAATCCTTGGCTCATGAAATTCTACAGTGCCTATCAGGGTGCCTGGCCCAGAGTAGGCCCTCAATAAACATGAACTGGGTAGAGGGTAATTGGACAGATGAGAGACAAGGGAGAGCAAAGTGCATCAAATCTGAGGAATAGGTATGGCTGGCTCCAGAGGGCCCTGGGCTTGTACTGCAAGCGAGCCCAGTTACGGTTTTCTAGAAAGGTATGGCTATTGCTTTGAGGGTAACTGGTGCAAAGTGTCTCAAATTTTGCTTGACAAATATGGTACTCAAGCTCTGGTACCTATTACTACTCTAAGTTCTTAAGATTCTTTGTCCTCGGGTTCCTTCCCTAGAGGGATTCACAGTCAATTTCAGAAACAAAGGCTACATAAGGCACCATGGGTGCTAATGCTCTAAGAAGTGGTGGCAGAGCTACTTCCATTTGCCTGAGCCCAAAAAGCCCAGGATGTGGTCCACTGTTGAGATGTGGTCGGAGAACAGAACCTGTCCTACAGCACCCCTTCAGCAACTCTGCTGTCCCACCCCTAGAGGTTCCTACCTGCTTTCTTGCCAAATTCTCCTTCCAGCTCAGCCTGTGCCCCCGTCAGGGGGAGATCCACCATCTCAAGGCACACCACTTCTGCCAGTGACTCTTCCCGGCTCCACAGCACCACCTTCCCTGCTGCAGAAGAGGGCACTTTAAAAGCTAAGCCTGCCCCTCCAACCCTGAAGGGATTCTCTTCTAGGTGGTTCAGCAATCACCATGGCATTTGTGTAATAAGAAACAGCACAGCAATCTCCTGGTCAAGTGCAGAAAGCTCTGTATCCCAACCCGAGAGTACAGAGGAGTGATTCAAAAGCAGATGGCACAGCCCTCCCGACCACATACAAATAAAGTCTGATGGAACTTACGGGTAGATCTCAAGAAAATGAGTTAAAAAGAGGACAAACACTGTATAAGACCGCTGTTACAAAAATAAGCTGGTTACCAGGGCAGGAGGGGGAGGTGGTGCCTGTGACGAAGGGGAGAGCAGAGAAGGAAAAGAATGGATAATGAACATTGTATTGGAATAGGTGCGGGGAAGGTCAATTCAAAATGGACGATCAGACGCATTTAACAATCTGGAACAGTACATACATTATGGATTAAATGGGAAGGAAGGGGGAAGATGAATGAATGAATGAAAATTAAAATTTTTTTTTAAACTTTCATTTAAATCACAATAAAAAGTACTTTTTTAAAAAACCAGGTTAAGGCAAGCTCTGGTGGCCTAGTGGCAAGAAGCTGCACTGTAATCCCAGAGGTGTGCAGTTCAAATCCACCAGATGCTTTGCTGAAGAAGGAGGAACAATTGCCTCCTGTAACAGTCAGATCCGATTTGATGGTACACACATAAAAAATAATAATAATAAATTTTAAAAAAAAGAAAAAAAATGCAGGTTAAATGGAATGACTTACCCAGCTGCTGCAGGAAAAGTAGCAGGTGATCCTCTGTCTGTACCAGGGCCCGATAGCCCACTGAGTCATCCTTTTTCAAGAACACCTGAATATACAGCTTTAAGCAAAACAGTAGAGACAACTGTAATCAGTGAAAATCCAAATGCTTCTCAAGGACCAGAGCCCAAGAGTCATGATTCAAAGGTATTGTTCAAGACTACTCTTTCCATTTTAGAGATGAAAAGGTCATAACCCAGAAAGGTTCAAAAGCAAAACTTGATGTACACAGAAGCAATATTGGGTCAAGATTAAAAGGTGTGGGCTATGAAGGGTGATAGACCTGAGTGTGAGTCCTGGAACGCCTTGTACTGATATGAGACTGTGGAGAATTTTGACAGTTTCCTTACTTGAAAAGCAAGGTCAGGACTAAGCATTCCATAAGATTGTTGAAAGGGTTACATCAAGTAACGCATGTTAGTAGCTCAGCACAGTGCCTAGAACACAGTGACAGCCTAACCCATGCCAGCTTTTATTGTTAACGCACAGGCAGATCACTGCCACATATATTAACTTGAGAACTAGAGGCCATGTCCTGAGAGTCCTAATCCAGGACACATGATCTGCCCCCAAGGAGGGGAAGCCCCAAGTGGAGGTGTCAGCAGGAAGAAGTCCAAAAACAAAGGCTTTGCTCACCCGCTCAGGCCGAGTTCCATTCTGTTCCAGGCTAAATGTAATCGTGGTGTCAAGCAGCCGCCGCCCTGTCTCCACTAAGTAGAGGTTAATGGTGTAAGTCTGGTTGAAGCAGTCCAGGGAGTGCTAGGGGAACAGAAAATAGACAGTTACTAGAGAGATTCGCTAAAGTAAAATTCCCAAGCAAGTGCAAGGATTAGGGGCAAACACTGGAGGAGTCAAGCCAAAGGGAGACTTCAAGCAAAAGAAAAGAAAGCTAAAGCCTGAGGTAAGGTCTTTGAGTAAACAAATTCCATTATAAGTATATACTTTCAGTCATATTTGGTACCCCGGGTAATGCATATAGTAAACATGTCCCCAAATGCTAACCAAAAGGCTACAGGTTCAAGTCTACCCAGAGGCACCTAGAAGACCGGTCTAATGATTTGCTTCTAAAAAAAAAAAATCAACCACTGAAAACTCTAGGGGGAATATTTCAATTAATACACATAGTTTTCATGAGTGAGAATCAATTCAGTGGTAAATTTGTCTAAAAAAAAAAAAACCAAAAACACAAACACTTGTTGGTTGGGAGGGGGAAAACCCACAAACGCTTGTTTTACATGGTAACTAGAATAACGTAGGTGATTTCTCAAAGAGAGGTAAAGTCATGAACACGTGCTAGAAGCAAAAGCCCTTCAGAAAACCACAGCAGAATCCTCTGCTTTCCACCAATGTCACATGCTTCTGTTTCAGTGCAACTGTACAAACTACCACTCAACTCCACCAGCTGGGTTTGAAAGGAACTGGTACTGAGACCCAGAGGAGTGAGTAGTTATGAACAGATACAGGGAGTCTACTTTCATTCTTTCTTCTTTTTTTTAAATTTTATACTCATTTATTTACTAAGTTTGAATACTCTGTCTCTCCCCTCACTCTGCCTACTCCCTCAGTCAAGTAATAAGACAAAGAGAGATGACATTTCATTTCCAGCACTCAGAAACCCCAGGCAAGGCTGGGTAGCTGCAGTCACACCTTCTCTGTGGGGGCTTATGTCCTCAGGTCTGGCACACTCAAGCAATGCCACACCTTACCTTTGGGCTAGGCTTCTCCAAAGCACTTCTCACTGACCCATCTTCAGAACTGCTAGTTTTCTGCTAGAGGAAAGAGAACAGAAGGACAAAGTTTAGTTCAAGGTCACTTCCCATTCACCAAAATAAAGGCTTTCATTTGAGTCTTCTCAGCACTTCACAGAAGGTCAATCTCATTTTCACCCTGCTTATAAAGTGTATGCAATCCCTAGTTGTCCCAGTGAAAGTAAGGTCTTCACAGTAGGACCTCATCCCTGAAAGAAGGGGGTGTGCTGAAAGCTCTGCAGATAAGGTGAAAACGTCATTCAAACCCTTGGGGTTCACCCTGACCAGGCAAATGTGCCCGATTTCTGATTCCTGGAGCTCCTGACAGAAACAGCCACTAAAGCCTGGCAGAGACTAGGATGGGAAACTCCTAATGCTTACTGGTATTCTCAATACTCACTGGTTCATGTAGGCAAGTCATAACGGCAGCCACTGTCTTCTCCCCAGTGGTGGCAAAGCTCACCAAGGCAGTCTGCAGGAAAGGCAAGATATCAGTTCTCCAGTAGGGCCTAATCACCAACAGTCTTACAAGGGTCACCTCCCCAGGCCAACTGCACAGGGTGCCACTTTCAAGTGTCCCAGGCTTTGGAACATAATTGCAAGAGCATGTCAGAGCAGAGAAAGGCTCAGTTACACCTACAGCTGAAAACAGAACTATTCCCAACCTCCAACACAGGTACTGGTCAGTCAAACCTAAATCCCATGAGGTTCTCAGTATCTATCAGTAGGTAAGAATTTACGTGTTTCTTCTTCTGTGGATTCAGAAGAAAGTGCTAGTTTTATTCTAAAAGATCTTTCACAATTTTCACTTAGGAGAAAAAGTGACCCACATCTGTTCAATCTCTGAAGTCATTGGGAACAGGCCATCAAATTTGGCCTTGAAGAGTTTTGGGTTTTTTTAAGAGAGAAGGGCCAATGTCTCCAGATTCAAAGCCAGGTGCTCCAAGCATCCATGGCTAGATCCGGAATCCTAGGATGCCACGTTGCCGTTGGTTACCTGTAAGAAGTTTTTGAGCAGGCTTAGGACCCCATGATGGTAGTGCAGCAGAGCATAGTGGCTTGGGGATAACTGCAGGAAAAACTGGGGCCGAGAAGGATCCACTGGGTTGGGCTGTGTGGCCAGGATGCGAGGCTGGAAGCCATTTCTGATTTCTAAATCAAGAGACTAAGAGACAAGAAGGATTAGGGCCAGAAGCTGGCAAGTCCCTGATCCAGCCCTGGCAGCAGTGCCTGCCCCATTTTGCTAGTGAAGTAACTAGGCCATAGCATTTGGCTCCAGAAGCTCAGATTTAGGTTCCCCACAGGGGACAGTGCCCCATTTCTCCTTGTACCAGTTCAGCCAAAGGCCCGAGTATCTTCTCACGGCTGCCAAGACTCAGGAAGGAAGCAGTAATGCTGGAGAAAAGATCTTCCAGAGAATTATACCAAGTTTTCTAAATCCTTGGCAATGCCATATGCTGGAGAAACCACTCAAATCTCTCTCTTTTTTTTCCCCTCTTCCACCCTCTTCTCCACCACTCAAGTCTCTTACCTGCAATGGGATCTGCCTCAGCTCCCACTCTGTCTCTAGGGCCAACGTTTGGAGGGAACGCGAGCTCGGATCAGGGCACACCAGGACAGCCTCACTCACCACGCCACAGGCTCCGGTCAGAGTTTGCAGCCAAGGTGTTGAAACTCTGACCTGTAAGAAAAGGTGTCAAATGAGGAGGCTTTTGAAGAATTTCTACATTTTCTTATCAGCTCCTCAGCAGTATCACTGCTAGAGGTCCACTGGGGATGCTAAGTTCAAAGGTTCTTCCTGGTTAGCTCTAAAGTCATTCTTGGCCTCCCAGCTTCTCAAGAGCCTCTGAAGAGAATCATCATTTTCCCTCTGGCCAATGGACAAATATACAAGCAATTTTAATGCCTCACATTTCAGGCAAACATATATCAACTGTATTTGTCAATGTGGTCTTCTATATTTATTTCAAAGCATCTTATTACCCTATAGTACTGGCATGGACTCTATCTATACAATTTTTGAGTGCTTAATAAATATTTGGCATTCTAGTGGACTAGTACATATGGAGTTGCCCTACTAACCCAAAAGCTGCACAGCTCTGGTGGTATGAATCCATCATAGGAGAAAGATAGGCAATTTCCTCTCATGTAATTTACAAACTCAGAAACTTAAGCGTCAGCCAGGAATGGGTTCCGCCTTGATGGCAATGAGTTTGAGTAATAAAGGTTTCAAGGGAAAGACAAGCCAGTCATTTAAGTGACCAGATTAAGAGACCATAAAGAGCTTTTGCGTCTTCCCAGCCAGGTTCCCAGGTCCCCAGTACAACAAAGAGCTCTAACAATTCTCCTCCCCAATTCATAAGACCTCAAGCCAGATGCCCTAACATACCTGCTGAACAATCTCTCCATCTTCCACACTGAACTTGACAATGTTCACATGGCTGAAGGGGACAATTCCCAGAGCCCACACCACCCCAGAGCCGTAGGAGTACACCATCTGGTAATGGATGCTGTCACTAAGAGAGAGAGAAGGAAGAGAAGGGGACAACAGTTTCAGGACCAACCTCAGAGATCTTTCACAATGAGGCATAATGCCAAATATTATTGTTTTTGTTTGACATGTTTCTTTAAAATTTGAACTGGCTATCAACCTTGAAGGTTGAGATTATATGTGAAAAACGATTGTTAGCTTTTTGCTGAAAATCAGAAGACAGGAAAATATTGAGTTTACTTCATTCCTTTCTGCTGTAGTAAGGCTGCCCTCTTCAGGTAGGTCAGACACACTACCCCCTGATAATACCCAATGGCCCACTTTGGGCATGAATATAACTTGGTTCGTCTGATCAGAATTTGAGGTTTTGATCCTTGCCTTTGAAAAGCAGTAAAAGCTACGCAGATCCTTCTCCTCGCTCCCTCCTGTTTCATCCTATCATGAATGCTTTCCACCACTATGGAAATCACCTCAAACCTAACTCAGCCCCTGTGCTGGGCTCTTCTTGTCTTAATAAATTATAGGAACAGACAGTTCAATCACGCTTAAGCTTAAACTAGAAGCTAAAAAGTCCAAAGTTCTATAACCATGAATGAGTGATTCACATCCCTTCATTTGACTTAACTGAAAAGTACCTATGTTTGCGTTTTCTCCTCATTGCAGAGAAAACTCCAGGTGTAGTCAGGTTGTGGGAATCCAAGATTAGACCTCATGATCTCAACACACTGTATCAGGCATAAGGTAAGCTTGGGTAAAACCAAATGTTATAGGCTTCTCAAAAATAAAGATGAATGTCATAAAATGTCTATGAAGAGTTGAATGGAAAACCAATCTGCTTTATAAATTCTCATTCAAATAACAATAAGTGGGGGCTGGGGGGAAGACAGAGATATCTGCAGAGAACAGGTGAGTTACCTATCATCAGGTTAGATGGCATACTTACCTTTCTGGGAGATGCTCCACCCACTTCAGGTGCCCACTGGAGAGATGATGGAGGGCAAGTGTGGTCTTCTTCAGGACTGCAACATACCTCACTGATTCCTGCAGACCTACCAGCCCAAGTGCCTGAAAACTGAGCACAGGAAGAGAGGTGAGAGCTGCCACGCACTTTCAGAGTCTCAGGCCAGAGGAGATACTCAAGAATACTATCACTGTTATTGGCTATGTGAGAATGTAGCCTTCAGAGTCAAATACAACTTGGATTTAAGTTCTGCCTTTGCCTCTTATCAGTTGACTTAAGCATCTACTTTTATCCACTCTGCCATAATGTTTCCCTGAAACCTGCCAGTTTCCCAAGGGTTGTTCTCTTTTCTGGGACTTCCCAGCAATCCAGACAACATCCATTATGGTACCAATGATGAAGTATCATCAATACTGATACAAAAACTGTCTCACATTCACTGGTGTGTTCCCATCACCTGAAAACTCACTGTATGACTGCTGCTGTTGTTGTTATGTGCCATCGAGTCAGTCGCCTGTGACTCACAGTGACCCTGTGTACAGTAGCTCTGAAGCCTGCATTGTCCTGAGCCAGTCTCACTGATTCTGACACACCAACCCCCATTGCCCTAGTCACTGTATCATTCCATCTCATTCCGGGTCTTCCTCTCCTGCGCTGCCCCTCCACCTTTCCAAGCATGATGTCCTTTTCCATGGACAAGCACCCAAAATATGTGACACAGAGCTGGAAAATCCCTGCCTCCAACGAGAAACTTGGTTTCACCCTCTCCAAGACAGACTGATTTGTTTTCTTGGCAGTCCATGCTATCTTCAAGACTCTTCTCCAGAATCACAACTCAAAGGCATCAATTATTCTTCTGTCATCCTTAGTCACTGTCCAGCTCTCTGATGCATAGCAAGTAATCTTTGCAAAGACTATGGCCTGGAGTAGGCACACTTTAGTCTCTAGACTGACATCATTGTGTGTCTAGAAAGGTCCCTGACAGGAGTTTTTTTCCCAATGCAATTCATCTGTTGACTGTACAGCCAATCAAGCTTTAACTGTTAACAACCTCAATCTTTTCTCCATCCATCTATCTTGGTGCTGCCAATTGACCCAGTGGTAAGAATCTTTGTCTTCTTGATGTTGAACTTCAATCCATACTGAAGATTACAGTCCTTGACCTTTTGCAGCAAGCACTTCAGGTCTGCCTCAATTTCAGCAAGCAAGGTTGTGTCATCTGCATAATGTAGGTTGCTGATGAGTTTTCCTCCAGTCCTGATGCCACATTCCTCCTCATAAAGCCCAGCCTCCCAAATGATCTGTTATGCATATAGACTGAAAGGGTATGGAGACAAGATGCATCCCTGACATACTCCCTTTCTGTTTTTGAACCATGCAGTGTTTCCCTGCTCTGTTCTGAAGACTGTTTCCTGGTCTGAGTATAGGTTTTGTATAAGTACAAAGAAGTGCTTATCCCACAATCTGGGATTCCCATTCTCAAGATTAACCACAATTTGTTGTGATCCACACAAATGCCTTTGCATAGTCAATGAAACACAGATATCCTCTGGTAATCTTTGCCTTCTGCCAAGATCCATTTGATACTGGCAATAATGTCTCTAGTGCCACGGTCTCTTCTAAACCCAACATGTATTGGCTGACACAGAAAAATTTCAAAACAACATATGGTCAAGAGGCAACGGTGATGAAGGAAAAGAACAGTCTGCGCCCCAGGAATTGATGGACTACCAACTGACATATTTCAACAGATGGTGCCCTGGATGTGCTTACCAGGTTGTGCCAGCAAATCTGGAGGACGACTACCCGGTCAATTGACTGGAAGAGATTTGTTATTTATTCCCATTCTTCAGGTGACCCAAAAAAGTGTGGAAATTATCATACAATATCATTAATATCACACACAAGCAAAATCCTGCTGAAGATTATCCAAAAATGACTGGAACAGAGAACTGCCAGAAATACTTTATGACTGTTGTTGTTACATGCCTTCGTGTCCCTTGTGACTCTCAGTGACCCTATACAGAGCCTAAACCGTGTTCTATCCTGTGCCAACTTCATTGTCTCCAACATACCTACTCCTACTACCCCAACCACTGAATTGATCCATCTCATCGAGGGTCTTCCTCTCCTGTGCTGTCCCTACACTCTCTTGCAACATGTCCAAAGTATGTCAGAATCCTTGACTCCAAGGAGCAGCCCAGCTTCACCCTCTCCAGGACAAACCTGTTTGTTCTAGCAGTTCATGGTAAATTAAATACTCTTCTCCAGCACCACAGCTCAAACGCATCAATTCTCTTTCTATTATCCCTTGTCACAGTCCAGCTCTCCGATGCATAGTATGCATTTGCGAAGACTATATGATTAGTGAATCAAAATCCTGCTGAAGATTATCCAGAAACAAGAAGACAGAGAACTACCAGAAATACTCCATGATTAGTGAATCAGTACCTATCAAACCACTGCTGTGGAGTTGATTCTGACCAGTGACTCTATGGGACAAAGCAAAACTGCTCCTTTGAGTTTCCAACACTGAAAGTCTGTACAGACACAGATTGTCTCATCTTTCTCCTACAGAGCAACTAGCAAATTCAAACCACCAACCCTTTGATTAGCAGCTCAACAATTCACTGTGCCATGCCAGACCCTTGAGTCAATTATGCAAATGATTCTATGGTATAAAGATGTTACAATACCTTAAAACTCTTCTCTAAACACAAAATTAAAATACAAATAGCTTAATATTATGTTCCTATATGTAGAACACTGCAAAGCTCATGAATCAAGGTAAGATTAGAAAACATTTTCCAAGAATAAACCTAGAATCTATTGTTACTGTTGTTGTGAGGTGTCAAGTTCATTACAACCCACAGCAACCGTAGGAACAACAGTTTGGCCCCATCCTGTGCTATCCTCACAATCTCTCACATACTCAAGCTCACTGTTACAGTCATCACGTCAATCCATCTTGATGGAATTCTTCCTCTCCTTCCCCATTAGGCACTCAATAAATACTGCTTGAGTAAAGACATGTGCTCCACAACTTATAGCTCATTATTAACTGTTCTTTGGCTTTTTAGAGGTCCCTGGGGGAAAAAAGACCCAAGTTGCCTTTCACAGTCTTATGTTTGAGCAAAGCTCAGAACCTTTAAGCATAGCTTCTTCCCCTACCTGCCACTGTCCAAGGTAATCTCCCAGTTCAGGCCCCCAATGTTGGTCTCCCAGGAGCGCATGATTCGCCCTCCATTAGACACTGTGATTGCATCTGGAAAAGAAAATAAGTCAACTCCCATATTGCTCTTCTGTAATATCTGTGGGCAGAGGGCTCATCTCTGATAGATGGATTCAAACAGACATGAAGCAAGGACCTGTTCTTTACTGGTGGAAGTACCCCTTCTCCTTTCCCTCTCAGATCATGCACATACAAAGGAAGGAACCAAGGAAGGTGGAGAGAAAACCAGCACCATAGAGGGGACCAAACAAGCCTGAGCTTACCCTGTCCGTGGAGCAGCATGGCATCCACAGCCCCTTCCGGCGTGCCCTTGTCAACATGGCGCCACACTGAGAAACAAAAGTAACACATTACTACAAGGTAAGAAGCAGAGACAGTAGGAACTAAACTCATCCCATGATCCATGTAGCTCAACTTTCAGCTAAATAATAGACCAGCCGATAAAGTGAGTACTAATATCAGGGAAGTACTCATTCCTTAGAGTAATCAATCAAGTAAGATCTAAAAGATAGCTTTTGCCCGAGGATAAATGGGTTGGGATTAAGTATAAGGATCAAATAGCAAAGAGAGTAACAAGGAGGAAATAGGGAAAAAGTAGTTACAATATGGGTATTATAATTAATGGTAGATGGTTGAATGGAAAATCAATAAAGTTTCACTCAAATTCCAATTTTAAAAATACCAAATTGATGGCATGAAAGAATTCAAAAGGTCTTTGTTTGCATAACAATGTCCAGCTTTTTTTCAAGTGAAGAGTACAGCTAACTGTCAATGACCCACTCCCACTCACTAGGTACTAAAAGATGCAGAAGGGGAGGGGATTTGAGAGCAATCACCAGTGTTTCTGTACTTCTTATTCCTATTATCAAACATATAAGTAAACAGGGCCATTAACAAAATTCATACAATTTCATAAGAAAAATAGGATTGAAAACTACATTCCCATGACTTTAGCACCCAGGAAATCCAACCAATATATGTAATTTAAGAACAGCCAAACCATTACTGCGGAATAGAGTATGTGGTATTCTGTTATTGTTGTTATGTGCCAGTGAGTCACCCACAACCCACAGTGAACTTATGTACAGTTCTGAAGCCTGTCCTGTCCTGAGCCAGTCTCACTGATTCTGACACACCAACCCCGGCTGCCCCAGCTACTGTGTCAATTCCTCTCATCTGGGTCCTCCTCTCCTGAACTGTCCCTCCACCCTTCCAACCATGATACCTTTCTCAAAGGACTGGTCCTTCCTGGCCATGTGTGCCCAAAGTATGTGAGATGGAGCTTTAAAATCCTTGCCTCCAAGGACAAACTTGGTTTCCTCCACTCTAAAAGAGACCTATTTGTTCTCCTGGCAGTCCATGTAACATCTTATTTGAGGACACTCAGGACTCATGCCGTTACACTATCAAGATTACTGTATTGATGTTGTTGTTGTTGTTGTTGTTATGTGCCATCAAGTCGCTTGCGACTCATAGCGACCCTATGCACAACAGCCCTAAACCCTGCTCTATCCTGTGCCAATCGCACTGCCTCCGACACACCCATCCCGATTACTTCAGTCACCGAATCAATCCATCTCATAGAGGGTCTTCCCCTCCTGGGCCGTCCCACCACCCTCCCAAGCATGACGTCCCTCTCTAAGGACCCGTCCCTCCTGGCAACATGTCCAAAGTATGTCAGACGAATAGGTTATTATTATAATTCCATAAATAACAGTTAACATATTATAAGACTATTACATGAATAACAACTAATATGCTAATAGATTTTTATTCTCATGCAAACAACATGAGTATTAGTATTATTACTGCTACATGTCAGTACATATCATTTAATACTAATTTTTTCTATTTTTCTGATTGTTAATATTTTTAACAGCATTATTAAATATCCTAAGATGATAAGAATGAAAAAAAAATTCATCATAATTCTGTATAAATTCTGTAAGAATGCACTTTTGGCCAACTTGTCCCTAACTCAGCTCGGCTGACTTCGCAAACTACAGGCCTTTCTGGATTCAGTATTCTCAGCCTTTCCATCCCTGAGCCAACCAGTTACCCCAGGTCACTCACAGATCTCCCCTGTGCGAGAATTCAATGCTGCAATCACATTCTTCTCTGTGGCCACGACTAACTTCTTGGATCCAGGAGAAAATTCCAAAGAGGCAAACTTGATTTTCCCCACATACTGCTGTCTCCTGAGGAAAGCATATGGAAGGAAAACAAGAAGTCAAATTCATCACTGCACAAAATACTTTGGGGGAAAAAATCACTTACACAAATGGACAGGGTTACCACCTTCATACATATCTTCTTGTCAGGTGTTGTGGAGTATGACTCATAGCAACCCTATGAACAACATGTGCATCCTCACAATCTCCAACACTATCAAGCCCATTGCCACAGTCACTGTGTCGATTCACCTGGTTGAGGGTCTTCCTCTCCTTCACTGTCGCTCCACGTTCTCAAGCATGATGTCCTTTCTAAGGAATAATTTCTCCTAACAACATATCCAAAGAATGTGAGATGAAACTTCATCATTTTTGCCTCCAAAGAGTGCTCTGGTTGCATCTTCTCCAAGACATATCTGTTTATTCTTTTGGCAGTTCATGAGATATTCAGCACTCTTCTCCAACACAATTCAAAGGTATTAACTCTTCTTCTGTCATACTTGGTCACTGTCTAGCTCTCAGATGCACAGATGACTGAAAAGACCATTGGCTGAATCAGGCACAACTTAATCCTCAAACTGACACCACTGCTCCTTAAGAAGAGGTCCCTGACTACAGACTTTCCCAGTGCAATCTGTCTCCTGATCTCCTGACTGCTAGTACTATACTAATTGTGGATTTAAGTAAAATGAAGTCATTGGCAGTTTCAATCTTTTCTTCATCTATCATGATGTTACTTATAGACCTAGTGACTAGGATTTTTGCTTTCTTGATGTTGAAGGTTGCAATCTTTGATCTTCTACAGCAAGGGCTTCAAATCTTCCTTCTTTCAGCAAGCAAGGTTGTGTCATCTGCATAATGAAGGTTATTCATGAATCTTCCTCCAATCCTGATGATGCATGTTCTTTTTCAGAGTCCAGCTCCTCAAATAATCTCCTCAGCATACAGATTAAATAAGTATTGAGAAAGGATACGATCCTGATGCACACTTTTCCTAATTTTAAACCATACAGTATTCCTTTGCTCTGTTTGCAAAACAGCCTCTTGGTCTATATATAGGTTTCATGCCAGCATAATCAATTGTTCTGGAATTCCAATTCTTCTCAATTTTAGCCATAATTTGTTATAATCTACATAATCAAATGCCTCTACATAATCAATAAAACACAGATAAACATTCTTCTGGTATTCTTTGCTTTCAGCCAGGATCCATCTGACATCAATAACGATATCCCTCATGCCACAGACTCTTCTAAATTCAGCTTGAAGTCTAGAAGTTCTCTGTTTATGTACTATTCTAGCTATTTTTTAATGATCCTCACCAGTATTTTGCTTGCATTGTGATATTAATAATGTGATACAAGTTTTAGTGTGTATAGGTGTATAATAAATGTGTGTTAATAAAAATGTCTGATCAAAAGCAAGATTTCTATGCAGTGTAGCCAGAGGAAGAGGATTAAGAGAAAATCTCTAACAGATTAGAAATACTAGCAGTCTTTTAAATGCAAGTAGGTATTTCTTTTTTTTTAAAGTTTTTATTTTATTTTATTATTTTGTGTGTGTGTACTGTCAAATCAGATCTTACTGGTACAGGACGAGATTGCCCCTCCATCAGCAGAGCACCTGGTGGATTTGAACCATGTACCTTTGGGATTGCAGGGCAGCTTCTTGCCACTAGGCCACCAGAGCTCACAAGTAAGCATTTCTAAAAAACAAACCTGGCAAAAATTTCACTGGACCAAATACTGCAGTCTTCTCTGTATTCACCAACAGTGGAACTCGGAACTCAAGAGGACAAATGCAAGGAGAAAAGCAAATTGTGCCTTCAATGCAACATTTTAATTGGAGCATACAATCTAACCTTTTCTCTACTTTCAATTGCTATACATAGATAGGGCAAGCCTTTGTTCTCCACAGCCCCTTCTACTCTACAAAAGTCCAGAATCCAACTGAATCATTACTCATACTTTTTTAGGGAACTATTTTATCATTTTCAATACTCTAAGCTCAGGACAAAAATAATACACACTTCATATGGTAAACTGTCAAGCACAGAGTTTACATAACAGTGAAGAAATGCTGACACCTCTAGCACAATCAACACACATTTAGAGTGAATTTCTCGTGTCACATGTTTGTATAGGTTTTGTTGGTGTTGGCTTTTTTTTTTTTTTTAAACAAAACTAAACTGGTAATAGACAGGCACATTTAACAAAGATTAATGTTCTTAAGGAGCTCTGGTGTCTTAATGGGCTAGGATTGGGTCATCACCCAAAGACAAGCAATTTAAATCCATCAGCTGCTACTCAGGAGACAGATGGACAATTTCCTCACATGCAGTGTACACTTCTGAACATCTGCCATAGGGTCAGCTATGACTCAGTTTTGACGGGATGGCACATTACAACAAGGTACATGTGTCATCTGACGTTTTATTTTCTTTTATTTTTTCTGTGTGTACCGTCAAATCAGATCTGACTGGTACAGGAGGAGATTGCCCCTCCTTCTTCAGCAGAGCATCTGGTGGATTCAAACCACATACCTCTGGGATTGCAGTGCAGCTTCTTGCCACTGGGCCACCAAAGCTCCCTCCATCTGAAATTTTTTAACTATATTTTTGCACACTTTATCTCACTGAATGCTATGATGTACATATGTATGGGGTAATATCATTACTCCCATTACACACACGGAAAAACCAAGTCCAGAGAAGCAAATTACTTATTGTCACAACTAGAGCCAAAACCTCGGATCTTCTGACTCTAAATCCTATGTTCTCTTAAAATATTGTTATGTTTTATCTGAACTATAAAAAGAAATGCCTGGGGGAGGCGTGGGCAGGGAGAAAAGTGCAACAATGAATAAATGGAAGTCCAAAGTCTCTGTAAACTATCATTAAAATTAACTAAAAAAAAGTTGTTGAAAAAAAAAATCAAGCAATGTATTGCACTGAGCAAGTCTTCTACTCATGATATCTTTAAAGTGTTAGGAAGCAAAGGTGTCCATTTGAGGACTAAGGTGGACCTGACTCAAACCATGACATTTTCAGTTGCCTTACATGCGTGCAAAGCTGGACAATGAATAAAGAAGATTGAAAAAATAAAGAAAAGAAAAAAGAAATGCCTGCTCAACTGTAAAAAAAGTGTATAAAAGACAGGTATGTAAGAAAAAGAATAAAAGATACCTAAAACATTGCTGTAATAGATAAATGTTTAGCATTTTCGTATATTTATTCCCTTCTGTTTATTTTTCAATTTGTAGCCTGTATCTTCTACCTAGTCTGCTAAATTGAAATTGTACCTCATATGCAATATATATGTATGCATTGATGTTGTGAATTTCTCCACATCATTAAAACTGTGCCATACACTGCATTTTGTCTTTTTATGATAATATTAATATATCTTTCTGTCCCACCAGACTGAGTTCCTTACCTATCTCTGTATCCACAGAACTAGGACAACACCTGACACACTACAGGAATCCAACAAATAAATGCTTAATTTTAGACAGAAAAGACTTTACCAAAGATATATCTGAACAGGGATCTAAAGGAGCCGTGTCCCCTGAATTAGTAATAGTGGGTAACATTTAATGATTCCACTCAGTGGATCAAACACTGTGGTAATTTAAAGAGATTCTTTCATTCATTCTCTAAACAACCGCAGGCAACTGGCAGCACAGGCAAAAATCTAGATTCAAACAAAAGCAGAGAAATTGCAGGGCTTTAAGGAAGGGGTAGGCAGTGGCTAAGTGAATGAAAGGCATCTCTTAGATGGTGAGTTCTGGGGGAGTCGGCTCTCAATCCAGGGCAGGGCTTGGCTGGAAGAGAGGGGAAGTGGCCTCAGTTTGAGACTCCTAATACCCAAGCTCCCCTTTCCATGCCCAGGGGACGTCAGTCCGAGGAAGTGACAGTTCACTGCAAGCAGACAACCACTGACACTAGGTGGATCAGAACGGTGACAATCATAAAAATGGAGCCACAAGGAGTAGGAGGGATCGGTGATTTCTGAACACTCCTGGACAGCCTTCAGAGGAATGTGAGCTAAACTGTCGTACAGGAACCCTGCTTAGATAGGCAGCAGGCTTGGCTTAATGCTCTTTAATACCTTTAGCAATTTTTCTTTTAAGAAGGGGGCTTTGCATTTTCACTTTGCACTGAGTCCTACAAAATACATAGCATACTTTGTTTTACTGGAGGAGAGGAAACTGGAAGCACTGGGAAAATAGTTACATACTTTATGAATAGGCACCATACATACGCACCAATCGAACTTGCCCACTTGGTCTTCGTAGACTGCGGTCGCCGGGGTCAGTAATAATGCCCAGAGCCATAACCGGGAAACCAGAGAAGCCGCCATGACAGCTGCCCACACACCTACCGCCACAGGCCCAGCATGCCCCGGGCCGCAGGCCCCGCCCCGCAGAACCATCGAGTCGGGAGCACCTCCCCGGAAGTTCTCGAGACCCGGGGACGCAGGCTGGCGCGTGCATGAAGAGCGCTTGCGGATCCGGAGAGAAAGCGCAAGTGCCGGCCTGGCGGGAGGGGAGCGGCTCAACGCAGTCTGAGTAAGGCACGAGCCAGGACAGCCCCAAGAGACCGTCCCTGAAGCCCACGGGCCGCCGGGTTCCTCACAGGCAGCGCCACCTTCTGCCGCACGTGTTTTCAACGCGATGCCGAAATCCAAGCGCGACAAGAAAGGTGGGTGATGGGAGCCGGGGAGAGTTTTCTTGGGGTGCTAGCAACAGGGGGGGCTTTGGAACGGCAGGAGTTACTAAAAGGGCACCAGAAGCTCCGTGAGATACTAGCGAGCTGGGATGGGGATGTGAGGGTGCCTAGAGTATCACTGAACTGCGGATCGGAGACTGTTTTGCCTGATTTTAAGTGCAGCCTCAAGGCTGACATCGTCAGAAAGCAGCTTCTCACCTTTCCCACTTCGGTCCTTGAGCTTCTCCCTATATTCCCTTTGCTGCTTCCGTTGCTGTGGACCCTTTTCCTTTTCTTCAACACATGCGTACTCCCGCATCTGGCCATATGCAGTCTCCTTAGTATGACGTGCTTCTGAGTGACTATTCCTAACGACTGTTACAGTGGCAGAGTCCCCTTATTCGTTTAGTTTTGGAGGCTAGCATGTATCTGGCAGTTTTTTGTTTTAGTTTTTATGGAACTCCTGACCTGATATTTAGTACCAAGGAGAAACATCAGAAGCTGAGTAAATGCTTATCAGATAGTGAGTGCGTCCCGCAAAGAAAACGTGTACTCAAAAGAAGTGACAGTGAAATTGTTTTGTCACTGTATCAGGAAAGTTCTTGCTAATAAGGAGACAAATAAGCAGAGACCTAAAGGAAGAAAACGAGCAACACAGGGACTTTTTCGGGAGACTTGTGTTCTACATAGAGGGCACCGAAAGTAAAAAGATGCTGAAAAGGGAGCATAGTTGGCATTTTCTGGAGTGTGGTTGGACCTCAATGAACAAGAGTGTGGGGTGAAGGAGGAACAGAGCGCTTAGGGCTTTATAAGCCTCTGTGAGGAATTGCCTCCACATCTGGGAACAATTGGAAGGCTCCGAGGAGATGCATGAGTGTGATTTCCTGTCCATTTTAAAGCATCTTTTGGGCCTCTTTGTTGAGGTTAGATTCCTGGAAGGATGGAAGCAGAAGCTCATTTGTAATAAGAGAGAGGGTGACACTGACTTGGACCAAAGTTGCAACAGTGGAGGTGTAAGAAGTGGATTGCTGGGGGGTGGGGAAGTGGATTGCTGTATTTTTTGATCCTTCCTTGCTGCACTAGATGGTTGGGATCTTCAGTCTCTGTGCACCTTTTGAGGAGAATGTGTCTGCTTTCACACATCAGGTTGAATTCAGTAAGAAGCAGGTCATTCCTGGGGGTCCCTGGGACTTTGTACTTGGTGCTCTGTTAAATATTTGTGGGATACATTTCAATCTGTGGAGTGGGCACTCTTCAGATCTGACAAATGCCACGCTTTTCTGGGAAAGTGAAGATTAGGCTTCAGCTGTTTTTAGTGGAAATGTCAGTGTCAGTGCCTCAGCGAGGCATGGCTTCATCCATGGTTGATTGCCATACTGAAGTGTGGAGATGTAGCAGAGCATATACAGTCCCTAGGCCCTCATATTTTTGTAGTATAGACCATGGTCCTTTTGAACCATGGACCAAGGACAGAAAAAGACCTACCAAAGTTAGCAGGATATATCAGGAGAGCAAGAGTGTGGACAATGCAATGTTACAGATTTGTAAGTGAGCCTGAGAGAAGCTAAGGAGCACCATTTTATATTTGGAGGGGGGAGGAGAAACCCATTGCCAATGAGTATATTCCAGTCCATCACAGCCCTCCATCAGGTTTCCAAAAGTTCTAAATCTTTATGGGAAGAGACTGCCCATCTTTTTTCCAAGAACCAGCTGGTGGAGTCAAACCTCTGACCTTTAGATATTAGCAGTGCAACATCTAACACACTGCCATGCAAGCACTCCTTAGTTTATTTAAGGAACGGGGGGGGGGAAACCACCAAGGGGTCTCCAGGGCCAAGATCCTTGGAGAAGAGCTACTACTTAGGTCCTGGAAACACTGCATTCCAGAGATGATGGCATCAGCAGAGTCTTAACTACCTTCCCTCAGATGCTTGTCCTAACTAAACCAACTCAGCTAAACTGCAAAAGAGAAAAATTGAATGTCCGACATCACCCAGATTTGTGCCTCATCAGCTCTCTTCTTTTTCTTTTGTTAGTTTCCTTAACCAAAACTGCCAAGAAAGGCTTGGAATTGAAACAGAACCTAATTGAAGAGGTGAGATCTTGTTACTTTGTTTTCCTAGAACTTGAGTTTGTTTTTAGAGTTGGGTATAGTAGGAGTGTTGGCTTGGAGAACAGAACCATTGCCAAGTTGCCGGTCTTAACCATTTTCCTAAGGCAGCAGCAGTAACAGCCACTGTTGTAGTTATTCCTAGTTTTAGTTGAACTCAATTATGGGACCTGCACTGCTCCATGGATTTGTTTTTTTATTTTAAAAAAATCTTTGGGGGAAGGGTGGGAGCAGAGGGGTGAGGATGGGCAGAGAAGGGGGGGTGGAAATGGGAAAGATGCGGTATGAAAAACAATGTATTCAAACTTTGTAAATAAACCAGTATAAATTTTTAAAAAATCTTAACCATGATTTAGGTGCACCAAAACTTTTATTTTTTATTTATATATATATAAATAAATTATTTCATGCTGTCCTCATAATATCCCTACTGGGAGTGTTAAGACCCTGTTTAGCAATTAGAGTGAATGAAGCTTACAGAGGTTACCTGTCACAAAGATGGAATTACTAGGTTAACTACAAAGCTGCACTCTTCACCACGCCACTGCACTATGTGCAGTCTGCAGACACAGTAGAAACAAGTCTGCTGGACAAAGATTCTCTTTCCAATGGTTATGGCATAAAAAAGCAATGCCAGTAAGCCACCTTATTCTCCTAAGTATACAACATGGTTGTTTATATACCCATTTAATAAGAGCCTTCCTAGTATGGATGTATTTCTAGGTGGTGGTTCAGAGTAATTCATGGACAAAATAAAAGTAGTTGATGGCACTAATAGCCACAGAACCTGGGAAAGGTCTTGTGATCTCAAACCATGGCTTGGCTGCCCCTCTGCTTTGAGCTCACCTATGCTTTCCCTCAGAGAGAGCCCCTACAGTTAGTGGTCTTGGCTTTGTTAACAGAAGTTAGTGACAGGCCACCAAATTAGAAGCCTCCAGTTTTAATCTTTCATAGTTCTAAGGGACTTTGAACAGATTCTTTCCTCAAAACATGCCATCCCCTGAACTCCAGAACCCATGTATTATCCCACAGCTTCGGAAATGTGTGGACACATACAAGTACCTCTTCATCTTCTCCGTGGCCAACATGAGGAACAGCAAGCTGAAGGACATCCGGAACGCCTGGAAGCACAGCCGGTGAGCAGGCAGTGGAAAGGGGCTGGTGTGGAGAAGAAGACGGGAGCTCATAGTCAAAAGTACAGGGGCAGTTATGACTCAGGTTCGTGAACTACAGATGGAGCCTAATAGGGTCATCATGCCATACCTTTGCTGAAAGGGACTGCATATCTGTTAAAGCTAAATTGGGCACTGAGATCTTTGATGGGCAGAGAGACTTGGTGTTGCACAGGGAACACAGAAGCTGTGCCTTTGGGAGAAGTGGCTTCCTTATCCCTGGAATCTGGTCCTTTTATAAGTATCATCTCAGTTTTAGAATATCAGTGTCTACAGTGGAGAGCATTGGTGTCACTCTGGAGACTAAGGTGTGTCTGATACAGGCCATGGTCTTTGCAATCACTTATTATGCATCAGAGAGTTGGACAGTGACTAGGGAGGATAGAAGGTGAATTAATGCCTTTGAGCTGTGGTGCTGGAGAAGAGTATTGAATGTACCATGGACTGCCAAGAAAACAGATTCATCCTGGAGAAGGTTAAACCAGGCTGCTCCTTGGAGGCAAGGATTCTGGAGCTTCGTCTGACATACTTTGGCCATGTTGTAAGGAGGGAGAGGTCCTTGGAGAAGGACATCATGCTTGGGAGAGTGGAGGGACGGCGCAGGAGGGGAAGGCCCTCTATGAGGTGGATTGATTCAGTGACTGGGGTAATCGGGATGGGTGTGTCGGAGGCAGTGTGATTGGTACAGGATAGAGCAGGGTTTAGGCCTGTTGTGCATAGGGTCGCTATTAGTCGCAAGCGACTCGATGGCACATAACAACAACAACAGTGGAGTGCAGCAGTGACCCCAGAGCAGGATGCATGAGCCACATGGGTACATTTATAACTGGTGCAGGTATTAGTTTATTCTGCATCTTGCTGCATCAGCTCTGGTGTAGAATCTTAACGTGCCTCTTCACATGTACTGTTAGGAGAGGACTGTTAACATAAAACTCAAGTGTGCTAGGAGACAAAATAGTTAAAGGGTCCCTGCTTTGTAGGCAGAGCTATGGGGAAGAAGCATGCACCTCCTCTTTACTAGCCTGGTCCTTTGCTAACAGGCGTCTGTTGGGCTGGAGCTGGCTTGCAATAAGCTGCTCAGTGGGCTGGTGGGGCACTACCTTTATGCACCTCCTTTTTTTTTCCCTCAGGATGTTCTTTGGCAAAAACAAGGTGATGATGGTAGCCTTAGGTCGAAGCCCATCTGATGAGTACAGAGACAACCTGCACCAGGTGAGTTATTAGTCCTCAGTAGGAGGGGCTTAAACCAAGCACCCCTCTCCTGCTGCTCTCTGGTGAAGAGCACTAGACCCCTGGCCTAGCTTAAAGCTCTGGGTTCCTCCTTAATCTCCAGACCCAAGAAATAGTACCCTTGCTACACTCTTAAGAACCAGAAAGTTGATAGACGTCCTCTGGGGCAAGGGCAGAATTACCTCCTGGCTTGTGACCAGACCAATCCCACCATTCGTTTGCAGGTGAGCAAGAAGCTGAGGGGTGAAGTTGGTCTCCTTTTCACCAATCGCACTAAGCAAGAAGTGAATGAGTAAGTACTTGTGAGGAATGACAGAGAGACATATTGGAGGAGGTCCCAGGAAGGAATAATCAGGGGCTCAGTGGAGGCATCCAGTATGAATTAGATCCTAGAGCCCTGTTATTGAAGTCATGGCTTCCGACCAGAATGTCTGGCTGGCTTCCTCCACTGGGTGCCTCCATCAAAGAAGGATAGTGATGGGCATCTCTGGTCAGTGGTCTTTCCAGCCCCCACAGAGATGGACAGGATGTCAGGGAAATCTAGGGCCACTGTTGGAGAGCTGACTTCAGCTGAGCTGGGAGTCCAGTCAGGAGTCTCCCCTCTTATTACTCTTTTTCTCTCCCAAGGTGGTTCACTAAATTCACAGAAATGGACTTTGCCCGAGCTGGTAATAAAGCAACTTTCACAGTGAGCCTGGATCCTGGGCCCCTGGAGCAGTTCACCCACTCCATGGAGCCACAGCTGAGGCAGCTGGGCCTGCCTACTGCCCTCAAGAAAGGTAAGCCGTGAGGAGGTTATGGGCAGGGACAAAAGTGCAACAATGAATGAATGGAAATCCAAAGTCTCTAAATTTTCGTTAAAATTAGTAATAATATTTTTTTTTATAAAAAAAAAAAAAAGGTAAGGCAGGAGCAGAACCTGGACACTTAGAGCTGAGAGCACAGGCTTCTACTTCCAGCAGTTCTTCTCTCCACTCCTGCCCAGTATGTCCCAGTGTTTCCACAGCTTGCTATTCTGGTGTGGAAGTGGCAGTACTTTACCACAGCAATGCTGTGGGTACATCAAGGGAGAAAACCACTGACCCAGAGTATGTTAAGAGTTGTGGGAAGGACAGGTGGCCAGCCAGATTCTGTCTGCGTTGGTTTCCATCTCTCTTGGAGCAGGACAAAGCTCTGTGCCAGATGTGAGCGCTTGGGGCCCTCTCTCCACAGGTGTGGTGACCCTGCTATCTGACTATGAGGTATGCAAGGAGGGTGATGTGCTGACCCCAGAGCAAGCGCGCGTCCTGGTGAGTCTGACTGGCGAGGGCACCATCCTGTAGCCAAGGCTTTACTTGGGGGGGGACCACCCCTTGGCTGTGCTGAAAGCATTCACTCAAGCTTTTGACTACACTCATTTCTCCCACCTCCTGGTTCTCATTGCAGAAGCTTTTTGGTTATGAGATGGCTGAATTTAAAGTGACCATCAAGTACATGTGGGACTCACAGTCTGGAAGGTTTGAACAGATGGGCAATGACTTGTCTGAAAGTGCAACTGAGTCGGAAGAAGAGTCAGAGGAAGATGACGACTGACTGGGATGCTCAGAGTGGGGGCCTCTGGTGCTTCCCAGGTCTCCCCTTGGCTGGATTAGCAGGACAGTGGCACCAGCTTGAGAGAACAGTTCTTTCTTTTGTTACAGGTGAAGATAAGGGAGCATGAAAGAGACTGTGTCTGTAAAGAGTACAACTTCATCTGCAGGGCTACTACTCCCTATGGACAGCAAAAGAAACTTCATTCAAAAAGAAACTTTGGGGTTTGTGCTTTTGTCTGAACTGCAGGATTCTTGTTTACCTCATGAGCCAGCTTCCACTTCTGACCACTGTGGTCAGCAGCCCCCACGGCTCTGGGTTCTCTCCTCCAACCCTGGGCACCACTTCTTTGAAAAGAGATCTTCTGAGGAAATAAGCACTCTTGTTCCTCCTTCCCCTCAAAAATCAAAAAACACAGCTCAGGGCCTGTGGATGGCAAGCTTCAGCCAGAAGGGGAGGGATCTGCTGCTGGAGCTGGGAGCAAAGAGCATTCACATGTCCTCCCCAGCCACAGTGGTGGAGGCAGGGAGGAACTTTACTCTGTTGACATCTCCAGTTGTGGGCTTCTGCCAAACTGTTTCAGTTCTACGTAATTGAAGGTATTTCTGTTAAGAATGTGTCCTGTTCTTCTGTTCTGCATAGAAAAGTTAGAGCTCCCGCTTCCCATTTGAGGTCAGCCTGGGGAGACTTTTTCTGAGATTGTGTGATTCGAATCCATATTTCTGTCCCCTCCTCATCAGGCAGCCAAGGAAACAACCAAGTTCACCCTCGGCTACAGCCAGGTCAGTACCTGCTTTATTCAGACAAGAAGTGTCTATGTGGATAGAGCTCAGCTCCACCCTTTCCACATTGCGAGGAAGTTTTGCAGGAAAATGGAAAAGTAAACATGTTGTGGCCCAGGGTAACAAGGAAAAGACAAGTTAGAGCAGTTCAGGCAAAACGGCTAGTGTAAGGATGGAAGAGGTGACCAAGGGAGGGTCTGGGTCTAGCGAAAATAGTTGGGACATCCATGGGCAACCAGGTGCCAGGCCTGATCAAAGGCGTCCACGACAGCAGGCTCCAGGGGCCCTTCTTCCACTGCAGCCAAATTCTGCTCCAGCTGCTCCAGGGTGGACATGCCCAGGATGACCGCATCCCCGTGAGCACCCTGCAAGGGGAAATGGCCACACTGCAGCACACTTCTGCTCAGTGACACTGGTCACACCCAGCCCCACCTCACGAAGATTTAACTGCTTATTGTTTATGTCTCATTATTGCAGAGAGCAGTTTTGCCTTCAGTTTTGGCTCCTTATGTCTCAGCAACAGATAAATCTGTGGTCAGAGCCTTTTTTCATTCCTGCCACCCAGCAGCTGGGTTAACCCTTCCAAGTTACCTTTCCCTCCACTTGGCAGGGTGCATGTAGAAACTGCAAATTTCGTAAAATAATTAACAGGCATGTCATAAAGTGGATCTGTTGCAGTATAATTCCCATGATGGGAAACTCCACAAGACCCCAAAGTGAGAGTTGGAGCTTAGGAAAGAGAGCAACTGAGGGGACAGAACAAATGCAAAAATAGCCTCCCTGCAGCTGGTCCAAGTGCGGTGGAGGCCACAACGAATTGATCACAGCCAGTTACAGATTTCTTTGTTCCTTCTCCATTACCACTGCTTCACTTGACCAGTTTTAAAGATAAGAATAGACTCCCGGTGCCAGTTTCTTCATATGTAAGATAAGGATATTTGCTGCTGAGTCACCCTGATGCAGGGCAACCCTTGTACAAGGAACTGTAGGTCCAGTCTTGTGCCAGCCCTGAGTGCATTGAGGACTGGATGTTTATGATCCTTTCTTTTCACTGACTGATTATTGGAAGGAGCACATCAGGCCTTTCTTCCTCGTCTCTGAATCTAGAAGTGCAGCTTTTCAGAGTCTACAGCACACAAGCCACCACTGGCAGGTTTTGGCTGCACGTGAGGTACATCACTGGGAACCAAACCCAGATTTCCTTCATGGAGGGTGAGAATTCTAAACACTGTCTAGGGCTCTTGTAAGAGTGTTTCTGGCTGGTGGTTATTACTGTGTAGAGTTGGGAGCTGACCCTCCAGCATACTTTCAGAGGCAGTAAATCACACAGGAGGAGTTCACCCATTTTTCTCACATGGAGCAGTTGGTGGATTCAAACCACCTCCCTTTGTAGTTTCTAACTGGGTACTTAATTTGTGGAAGACCAAGATTATTGTACCTAAGAACTGAGTTGTAGGGAGCTCTGGTGGCCTAGTGGCAAGACACTGCACTGCAATCCCAGAGGTACGTGGTTCAAATCCACCAGATGCTCTGCTGGAGAAAGAGGGGGCAATCTCCTCTTGTACCTGTCAGATCTGATTTGACGGTACATGTAAAAATAATACAATAAAAATTAAAAAGCAACAAAAAAACCTGAGTTGTAGATTTCAGAAAAAGGAGTTGAGTTCTATTTAATCTGAACCAGCCAGTGGGTTTCATAGGCAGTTAATCACACGGGAGGAGATTGCCCATCCTTCTGCCCCTCTCTAGCTCCAGAAGCTATATAACCAGGGATACCTGGCTTACCTGGAGCTTGGAGTGGTGATACATCCACCGCAAGGCAGCTGAGGTCATGCTGGGAGCGCTGGGTCCATAAGAAGCCTGCAGGGCCTTCTCCACCAGGGCAATGCCTTTGAAGTGATCCTTCTTCCAGTAGCTGGGAAGGTGGTACAGAGGTCATTACACTGGGGCTCACTGGTGTGGACTGTCACTTTGCCCCAATTCCTGTACTGCTGAAGAAGTTGTCTCTGTTACTTGGCATTGCAATGTATGTGTGTTTCTGAACCTCTGGAGGTGAAACAGTGGAGGAGTCTTCAGTATTAATTTGCTCACCAAGTGTCAAGGCACAAGCGCCAGATCAGGCCTCCCAAGAAACTTCAGTGCTGGATCTATGCTCAGGGTCGGATGAACCCTATGACATGCCCTGGTCTCAGAATCTGGCTTTGGACTGGATAAATTATGTATACTGCATTGAAACCGATGAATGAGAGAACTGTTTAAAAACGATATATGATTGGGTACTATGGTCATGAAGAGAGTCCAGAATGAAGGCCACATAGTGGAGCGTACTTGGGGTGGGGGTTGGGGGTGCGGGAGGATTGTATACCAATGAAAGAATTTTTCTTTTACTTTTCAAAGAGAAGAGCAAACTAGAGGTGAGAGGTAGGCAGGGAGAAAAATGCAACAATGAATGAATGGAAATCCAGTCTCTGTAAATGTTCATTAAAATTAATAATAAAAAATTAAGAATAAAAAAAAAAAAGAATCTGGCTTTGGCTTTGGCTGAGCCACCTGCCCTCACGTTTATTTCCTCTTTGAGGAAAAGAACCAGTCCATGGCGGCCCCAGAAAGTGAACACAAACTGTAAAGGAGACAACACGTCCGAGTTTGTAAACTATAAAGAACAGACACATGAAAACCAGGTGAGCCCAGGGCCCTACTGAGGCAGTGGAGAGCTCTGTGAAGAGCCAGAAGGTTCTGAAACCTGGCCTTGGTTATCAGAGATGCTTGGGTGTGCCTGATAGGGATTTAAATCACAGCAGTGCACACCCATGAACTTGGATATCAGGCCCTTCACAGCTGAAAAAAGTGCTGAGTATTTCAGTAATACTACCAAGGAGCATGTGCATGATGCTTGGCTGCTTCTGCCCTCCTCCCAAGATGAGAAAAAGCAAGGAAGGAACTCATATGCAGGAAGTAACTACGAAGACTCAGCTGTTCTGATCAGGGAGAGACCCAGACCCAAATTTATAGGATTTCCCCAACATAACATGATATCTAATAATAATGGTACACTAAGAACAACAGATGCATCTACTGTAGAGATGCCCTCAGGAAGCAGCAGAAGGGAAAAAAGCATGAGTTTAACATCTGACACAGGAATGGGCATCCAATAACTTGATAATTTCCTTCAAAATTTAAAACCATGAAAAGGGAAGAAGGCAGGAATAGCTGTTCAGTGGTGACTTGAGACCCCAGTAACATCACTGCATCAGTATGCATGTACAAAATGACACTCATTTTTCCCAAGAGGGTGGGTGAACTGATCATGAGATGCTCCCAAACCCTAGGTTTCCAAGTCACAATCTGCCTCTTGCAGATTGTCCCAATAAAGGGGACATCCTATGAAGGACATGGGGTCCTCATTCTGATCCAGGCCCACAGAGACAGGAGGATAGCCCAAAGGGGGAATGACTCTAGATCTAGGAGCCCAGCTGGGACAGGCTACGAGGAGAACAGCCCCAGGGACCCCCTATTTCAGAGAAAGGGGGCCAATGCCACCTCCCACGCTTACGCAGCTCCGCCCCAGCTCACCGACTCATGTAGAGGTCAGACCAGTTAATCCCATAGAAGCGGCCCACAGGGAGTTTGCCATCCTTGTCCTCATATTTGTACTTGCCAGTCAGCATTCCCCCTAAAAAAGGCTGCAATCAGGACCTTGACCAGACCCCTCCCACAGAGGCTGGAGGTCCCTGGTGGCTCTATACTGAGGGGCCCAGGTGGGCTGGAGAATAGGGCTCAACCTCCTGGCAAACCCTGCTCTGCCTCCCAGGTTTTGGGCTGAGCACCACTGGGTCAGGAACAGGCAGAGGTGGGGTCAGGGATGCCCTCCATCCCAGATGACAACATTGCCCCACAGCACCCTCACCAGCCAAAGGGTTGAAGGCATAGAACCTCAATCCATAGTGCCTGAGGCAGGGGAAGAGTTCCGTTTCCACTTGCCGAGTGGTGGCGTTGTACAAACCCTGCAGGAAAATGGGCCAGACGAGAAGGAAAGAGTATCAAGGGGCACTCGACTTTCACCGTTGTAGAACCCTCTGTTCAGACCCTCCTAGGGCCTTAACCACGGGACATAGACTCTCTGTGTGGGGGTAGTGAGTGCCCAAAGTGCATATTGGCTTGGATTGTTCATCCCACCATTTATGAACCCCTACTACAAACTGGACACAAGGATTTACATCCATGTCCTGGAAAAGCAGAGTATGAACTCATTACCATCAAGTCAGAATCGATCACAGCTGACCCTCCAGCAGGCTTCCATGACTAAATCCCACTAGCGGAGATTGCTCATCTTTCTCCTTGGGAGTGGCTGGTGGATTTGAACAGCTACAGACGTGTGACTTTTGGGTTAGCAGTACAACTCCCTATGAACTACACTATCTACCAGAACTCTCTCAGACAGCACTGTGGTTGTTTTGCCATCGAGTCTGAACCAACTCATAGCTGACTGTCTAGTGGGTTTTCAGAGGCTGTAAATCCCACGGGAGGAGACTGCCCATCCTTCTCCCGCAGAGCAGCTGATGTGTTCAAATTACTTGCCTTTGGGATTGCCGCCCAACTTCTTACCACTAGTTGGGTATAATGAAGTAAGGTGGTGTTTAGGATAATAATAGATCAATTCTGTAACCACAGGCTGAAGTGAAGCAGGTGTATAAACGTGCTTAATGAACAATGAGAGGCAAAGAACATGAGATCTCAGGCTCCTCTGGGACTGTTAGGAAAGGCTTCCCAGATGTGGAACCATCTGGAAGTGAGACCTGAGAATTTCAGCCAGGGAGGAGGAAGTTGGGTTATTTCAGGCTGAAGGTGAGAGGGGTGAGAATGAAGGGGCCCAGGTGGATAATGAAGCAAGAAAGAGAGGCGGGGCTGGAATGTGCAGGTGCCGGTCTGCCAGACTGAGGCCCCTCATCCTAAGGGCACAGGAGCGCCTACAGACTTAAGTGGAGGGGGTAGGGGTGGTGTTTGGTTCTATGCAAAGGACACTGGGACAGTCAGAGGGACCAAGAGAACCCTTGGAGATGAAGCCTCTGGGCCCCGACCTCACCTGGTACACTGTTGGCAGGATCCAGCCGTGTGTCTTGCAGAGGGTCCAGATCTCAGCCACCTCCCAGGAAGCATAGTTGGAGAGACCAAGTTCCACAAACTTGCCCTGAAGAAAAGAGACTGTGGTCTGACGTCATGTAGTCTAGAAGATCAGAAAGGGGAAGCCGGTGGGGACTGGGGTGTGGCCTGTGCCCAGTGCCACCTGGAACGGCCCAGGTGCCTTTCTCCTGGGTAGTGACAGATGAAGGAGAGAAGTTATAGACACATCCAGGGGTCCACCCTCACCTCCTGGTGCAGCTGGTGGCAGGTCCGCAGTGTCTCCTCTATGGGGGTGCTGTGGTCGGGCAAGTGCAGGTAGAAGAGGTCCACCTTCGGACACTGCAGTCGCTGCAGCGACGTCTCCAGCTGGAAGCGGAGACTGTCAGGCTTCAGGGAGTTACCATTCAAAGGATTAGCCTTGGTGGCAATTTTCACTTTTCGGGGAGAAAATGGAGATTAGTTCAGGCCAGTTTACCAGTGGTTGTGAAGGCAGTTAGTGTAATGGTTAAATCTCAGCTCTGCCATTAATAGCTATATGACTCTAACTACTAAATTTCTTAACCTCTGTGAATCTCAACTGAGGTGATAATGGTCCCAATCTCTTAGGAAGATCTTGAGGATTGATGAACTTGCATCAAGAGGAATCTTTCTGAGAGAACTGAACGTACCAGGTGTTGTACTAGAGGAAGAGAGAGGAAGATGAAAACTTGTTTCCTGTCCTCATGTCTGTGGGGCTATTACACAATCAGAGAGGCAAGGAGATGTACTAGAGGAGCGCAGAACAGTGTAGACTTGGAATTAACAAGTGGAGGTCAGAATCAACCAGCTGAAGAAGGATGGGAAGTGTATGCTGGAGTGCAGGGAAAGAGCCCAAGTCTAGGGAAGCTGAGTCTGTGATTTCAGGTACCCAAGGACAGGAAGCAAGGGAAGAGGTGCAGTCCAGGGGGCCTTGAGTGCACCCCATGGAGTCTGGACTTAGAGCACTGCAGAAACTAAACAGTCACTGCTCTGGTTTTGAAAGATGAGCTGGGCCAATGCACAGACAGAGAACTTGAGCAGCATATATGGAAGCAGGGTGATCACCCTGGAAGGAGCTGCAAAGACCCCAAGCTAGGCCTCTGAGAGACAAAAAAACCTAACTCATTACCATCACATCAGTTCCAACCCAGAATGACCCTACAGTACAGAGAACTGCCCACAGAGTTTCCAAGGCTGTAAATCTTTACTGAAGCAGACTGCCTTGTAGCAGCCAATGGGTTTAAACTGCCAACCTTTAACCATTTACCACCAGGAATCATGGGAAGGGAAGGCAGTGATCAGTTAAGAGAAATTTCCCCATGAGAGCAAGCCAGAAGTCAGCCATCCAAAATGCACAGGACAGAATGTTCTCCCACCCTCACTAGGTATCCTCAAGGGCTGAACATGTAGATAGGGGAGGGAGAGACTGTTCACAGCTGGAAAGTCACACTCCTTAACATTTGGAAATCACCTAATTGGTGACTCATTTGGAATTTTTCCATTCCACCACTTCCTCAAGCACACCACCGTCCCCCAGTGCCCTCCTCACCCAACCTGCCCAGTGTTAACCCAGCTTCAGATCTGACTACTCCCTGGTCTCAAGGAAGGAATAGAAGGAGACTGAAAAAAAAAAAAAACCAAAACGATTAGAAATCACAATTGTTATGTGTCATTGAGTTGCCTGGAACCCATAGCGACCCTATGTACAGCAGCTCTGAAGCCTACCCTGTCCTGAGCCAGTCTCACTGATTCCTACACACCTTCTCCCATTACCCCAGTTACTGTATCAATCCACCTCATCTGGAGTCTTCCTCTCCAGCGCTGTCCCTCCATCCTTCCAAGCATGATGTCCTTCCCCAAGGATTGGTCCCTCCTTGGCCACGTGCCCAAAGTGTGTGAGATGGAGCTTCAAAATCCTAGCCTCCAAGGAGAAACTTGGTTTCACCCTCTCCAAGACAGATTTATTTGTTTTCTTGTCAGTCCATGGTATGTTCAAAACTTTCCAGCACCACAACTCAAAGGCATTGATTCTTCTGTCATCCTTAGTCATTGTCGTGCCCTGTGATGCATAACAGTAATTGCGAAGACCATAGCCTGGATTAGGTGCACCTTAGTCTAAACTGACATTGTTGCATTTCAGTACACTGGAGAGGTCCTTGACAGCAGATTTTTCCAATGCAATTCGTCTTTAGATTTCCTGACTGCTGGTGTTAAGAGTGTTGATTGTGGAGGCAAGCAAGATGTAATTGTTAACTATTTCAATCTTTTCATCTCTTCTCCATCCATCATGGTGCTGCCAATTGTCCAAGTGGTGAGAACCTTTGTTTTCTTGATGTTGAGCTGTAATCCATATTGAAGACTACAATCCTTGACCTTCTGCAGCAAACACTTCAGGTCTACCTCAATTTCAGCAAGCAAGGTTGTGTCATATGCATAATGTAGGTTGTTGGTGATTCTTCCTCCAATCTTGAAGCCCATTCCTCCTTATAAAGCCCAGTCTCCCGAATGATCTGTTCTGCACATAGATTGAAATGGTATGGAGATAGGATGCATCCCTGATGCACTCCTTTCCTGATTTTGTCAAGATCTATCTGAGAAGAAATGCACCCCTTCTTATCAGAGAAGAAACCCAGCAAGGCTCCAACAGAGAGAGCTTACGAGTAGAGAGAGACAAAGTGTGCCAATAACCTGAACAACAGGTGGCTATTAGCTGTCATCAAGTCAGGTAGTCACCAATTTCCAGTGGCTCAGTCAGTGGAAGACAGAATGAAACCCTACTCAGTGCTGCACCAGCCCATAATTGATGGGACCATTTGTAATCTGTAGGGTTTTCATTGACTAATTTTAAAAAAAGTAGATCTCCAGGTTTATCTTGCCATCCCATATCAGTTGGGAAGTTCCATTGGAACCTGTTCTTCATCAAAACAACATGCAACATTCCAATGACAGACAAGTAACCACTAAGCATGATTTGCACTGGTTGGAAGTCAACCTAGGTTTCCTATATGGAAGGTTCAGATTCTCCCACTGAACCATCAATATCCCAATAACAGTAACAACTAACATTTATTCCTTTCTTTGAGTGAAGGCTTACAAATGATAATGGTTTTTTCATACAATCATTCACAGATACTTTGTTTTAGAACATTATTACCACTGATTACCAATGTAATCAGGGACATCTCCAGAGTACTGAAGTGCAATGATACCAGTCTGGAGACTAAGGTGCGCCTGATACAGGCCATCCATGGTCTTCGCAATTACGTGCTATGCAACTGAAAGTTTGACAATAACTAAGGATATCAGAAGGAGAACTGATACCTTTGAGCTGTGGTGCTGGACAAGAGTATTTAATATATCATGGACCACAAGGAGAACAAACAGGTTCATCCTGGAGAGGGTGAAATCAGGATGCTCCTTGGAGGCAAGGATTCTGAAGTTCCCAGTGACATACTTTGGACACGTTGCAAGGAGGAATCAGTCCTTAGAGAGGGACATCATGCTTGGAAGGGTGGAGGGACAGCACAGGAGAGGAAGACCCATGATGAGATTGATTGATTCAGTGACTGGGGTAATGGGGGTTAGGTGTGTCAGAGACAGTGAGGTTGGCTCAGAAGAGTGCAGGGTTTAGGGCTATTGTACATAACGTCACTATGAGTCAAAGGCAACTCAACAGCACATAACAGCAAATACAATTACCATGTCTAAGAAACACCTTATTGTGCATTGCCTTTCCTTCTGCCTAACTTATCAATTTTGACTCTGCTCTTTCTCCCTTCCCATCCCTGTTAATTCTCCAAAACTGATTTTGTGTGTACAGCTTTCCTAAGGTTTTTATTATCATGGTATTATACCATAATTGTCTTTCTGTGACATATGTCACTCAGCATACTTTTTCTAGATAGATCCATTTTGTGCAGCATCCCATGAACATTTTATCAGACTGTATAATAATACTCTATGTATAACTGCACCATAGTTTCTTCAGTCCTTAGACCAATAGGTGGACACTTGAGTTGTTTCCAACTCTTTGCTCTTGTAAGTAACACTGAAATAAATATGAGTGTGTATGTCAGTTTGTGATGGATCTCTTATTTCTTTGGAGTTTACAGCTAGTAGTGTGATTGCTGGGTCAAATGGTATTACTATGCTCAACTTTCTAAGCAAATGTCAAACTGCTTTCCACAGTGGTTGCTGAGGCTTCACTAGGTGCCTGCCAGGCACCAACCTCAGAAAACTCTAATGGGTTTTCAGAGGATGGAAATCACACAGGAGGAAATTGTCCATCTTTTTCCCATGTAGCAGCTGGTGGATTCAAACCTCCAATCTTTGGTTATCCACTAAGCCACCACAGCTCCCTAGGCACCAGCCTAAGCACCTCTATTATCAGACTGATGAAGGACAGTTACCTACCCCTAACAATCCTTCTACTTAAGCTGCATCTGCCTAAACCCTATTTCTCTAGCACACTTGGCATTTCCCACTGTCTTTGCACGTTCATATCCTTGGCCAGGAATGCTCTCATTTCTTCCTCTTCCTGGCAAACTCTTATCTGTTCTTCAAGGTCAAAAACACCAGTGTTTCTTCAATGTCTCCTGGGAACTGTTCCCTTATCCGGGCTCCCCAGGCCTCTCTAGAATCTGAGCTTCTCTGAGGTAGATTAGGGTTAATTTCCCCAGAGTCCCTACTGGGACAGTTACAAGAACAAGATTCAGACAGCCTAGTAGGTACACAGAAGGCAGTTAGGCTTCATGGGCTTCCTCTCTGTAAAGTCTACCCTCCCTACAGTGCTACTGCTGCTTCCAGGCGCTGCCAACTTGGTGAAATGGGATCATAAACAACTATCTTCCTTAAGAACAAAGGCAGAGAGTCTAAAGAACGAAGTTTAAATGAGCTGATAACTCGCCCATTGCAAAGTCTGATCTGGACTCAGGGAACAGTGATTGGGGCAGTGAATGGGAGGGTCAGCACGGGCCCTGTGGAGTGCAGCGAGGCTATGGGCTGCACAGTTCCAGATTCCCAAGTTTTCCGCGACCTAGAGATAGGCTGCGCAGGACTGCCAGCATTCTTCAATTACCATCGCGGAAAGGAACGGTTAGCGTATGCAGGGGATTGAGGAACTTGGGGTTCACAGAGCTGCAGGGTGACCAGGGGGAGGTTGGTGTTCAGGCAAGGGGAGAAGTTGTGCGTCCTGACCAAGCTCTGGCCCACGGTCAGGGACAGTGCACGGCAGTCAGGTCAGTTCCTACAACATTTAGGGGATGGGTTGGGGTCCCAGGTGGGAGTCAGGAATTACCTCTGCAGCCGCTGTGGCCTAACCCGAGTTCCAGGCCTCCCAGGATGCTCTCCGACTGGCCGTCCGCGTAAATGAAGGCTGTGTCCACCTCGGTGTAGCCGCGCTCCAAGAAGACGCGCATGGACTCGGCGCTGGCCGCGGGGTCCATGCGGCGCCCCATCTCCATGGCGCCCAGCACTGTGCCGGGCCGGGCCGGGGCGCCTGAAGCGGCCAGCCTCTGTGACAGCAGCTGAGACATAACAGCGGTGGCGGAGGAGAGAGTCAAATTGGGAGTGGTGGAGAAAGTTCTCGCTGTACATTGTGATTTAGCCACTCCCGCCTCCGGCCCCGCCCGCCACGACCGTGGGAGGAGCGATGGGCGATGCGTGCAGGTTCACCCCCGGGTCACACTACCTGAGGCGCTGTCTTAGACGGGTTTCACACGCACCTACCCGCCAAAGGTGTGCAGCGGGTGGCTCGGGGCTGGGCCACAATCTCAGAGAGGTAGGTCCTAGAATTGCCAGTGAACCAAAGGGAGAGGATATGTAGGACCTCCTTGCCACCTCTACCACCCTTCCTGAACTTGTAACTGACAATAAATAGAGAATAATAATATCTTACACTAAAGAATTATCTTTCACAAGGAACGGACACAGTTGGAGAAGAGTACTGAACTTCTCATGAACTGCAAAATGAACAAACATGTCTTGGACAAAGTGCATTCAGAGTGCTGCTCCTTTGAGGCAAGGGTGACAAAGCTTTGTCTCACATACTTTGGGCACGTTGCTAGGAGAGGTTATTCCTTGGAGATGGGTCATCGTGCTTGGAAAGGGGCATGCTCAACCACACAGAATGACAAAGTGACTGCTGCAAAGGGCTCCATAATGTCAGGGGATGAGGATGGCACAGGATAGGACAGGTTTTAGATCTGTTCATCTGCTGTGAGTCGTATTCGACTTGATGGCACCTAACAACAACAAGAATGTAAGATTAACTTTAAAAGTGTATCTTGAGCGATACAAGGGAACTTTGTCTTAGTCCAACAGCTATCAAACTTGAAGCCTTTTAGTTTTCTTTTCCCATCTGTAATCTGTGGCTAAAATTAAGCCATGGCATGTGAACAGCACCAACTCTTTCTAAAACAAGATAAGCTAGTCTAGGATATGACCACTTACAGCAAACAAAGAAGACACTGTAAAAATGTCTCACATTCTTGGGGAGCTCTAGTGGCCTAGTGGCAAGAAGCTGCACTGCAATCCCAGAGGCGCACGGTTCAAATTCACCAGATGCTCTGCCAAGGAAAGAGGGATAATCTCCTCCTGTACCAGTCAGATCTGATTTGACGGTACACACACACAAAAATAATAAAATTAAAAAAAAAATTAAAAAAAGATCCTAAAAAAAATGTCTCACATTCTACTGTCCTGTTCCTTTGCAATCTATAAGCCTCCAACAGTGGGCCGAGTGTATCAAAGATAATGTGGATGGCCCAGGAGAGCACAAGGTTCAGATCCCTCCTTGTTCACAGGGTCACCTTGAGTCTAAGTTGACTAAATAGCATCTAACAATAATAATATACAAGACAAGACAAATTTGGAAACTCAAACCCTTGTCTCCTATATTCATCATTTCATTATTGTCCAGTGGGAACACTCATCTGACTCTCCATTGGGTTTCCTAGGCTATGAATAGAGGAGGAGTTTGCCTGTCTTTCTCCCTGGGAGCCAATGATGGAGTGAAACTGCTTAAGAAGCGTTAGCAGCAAAATTCCTGACGGGGCCACCAGAGCTCCCTGTGTCCATATGCTGTTGTTGTGTCCCAGAGTTGGAACTGACCCATAGCTGACCCTCTGATGGGTTTTCGGGGTCAGTTAATCGCAGGCGAGGAGATTGCCCATCTTTCTCTGGTAGAGCAGCTAGTGGGCTCAAATCACATGTCTTCAGGATTGCAGCACAACTCCTTGGCACTAGATGACTCTGAGAAGAATGGGAATCCCAGAACACTTGATTGTGCTTATGCGAAACCTATACTTGGATCAGGCAGCACTTGTTGGAACAGAGCAAGAAAACACTGCATGGTTCAAAATTGGGAAGGATATGCATCAAGGATGTGTCCTAGCTCTGTATCTTTTCAATCTATACGTAGAATAGATTACACAAGAGGCCAGGCTCTATGAGGAGAAATGTGGTATCAGGATTGGAGGTAGACTCATCAACAATCTGTGCTATGCAGATGACACAACCCTACTTGCTGAAACTGGGTAGGACCTGAAGCACTTGCTGCAGAAGGTCAAGGACTGCAGCCTTCAATATGGATTGAAGCTCAACAGCAAGGAAACAAAGATTCTCACCACTGGGCTGATTGGTAGCATTATGATAGATGAAGAGATTGAGATTGTTAACAGATTTAATTTGCTTGGCACTACAATCAACACTCTTGGTACCAGCAGCCAGGAAATTAAAAGACAAATTGCATTGGGAGAGCCTGCTGTCAGAGACCTCTCCAAAGTACTGAAGAGAAATTATATCAGTCTGGAGACTAAGGTGTGCCTGATACAGGCCATGGTCTTTGCAGTCACTTGCTATGCATCAGAGAACTGGACAATGACTAGGGATGATTGAAGGAGAGTTGATGCCTTTGAGCTGTAGTCCTGGAGAAGAGCAATGAATATATCATGGACTGCTAGGAGAACAAACAAGTTCGTCCTGGAGAGGGTGAAGCCAGGCTGATCCTTGGAAGCAAGGGTTCTGAAACTTCATCTGACATACTTTGGACATGTTGCAAGGCAGGATCAGTCCTTGGAAAGGGACATCATGTTTGGGAGGGTGGAGGGACAGTGCAAGAGAGGAAGACCCTTGAAGAGATGGATTGATTCAGTCACTGGGTAATGGGGATGGGTGAGTCAGAGACAATAAGATTGGCACAGGATAGAGCAGGGGTTAGGGCTGTTGTACATAGGATGGCTATGAGTTGCACATAACAACAACAACATTGTTTATAACAAGGATCACTCAAAAACTCAGTGTGGTGGCCTCTCTGCCCACTAAATTCTGTTATCCTTGTGATTTCCCCCCTTCTCATCTCCTTTTGGAGTTTTATACATCTCTTACTAATTTTCATTTCTGATCCTCCATTGGGTTTCCAAGGCTGTAAATTGCTCAAGGAGACTGCCAGCCTTTCTCCTGAGTTGATGATGTTGGATGGAAGCAGCATGACCTTTGGTTTAGCAGTGCATCTCCCTACAGACTACAGCACCAGAGCTCTCTGTAACAAGGGTAGAAGTAACATACATGAAAACACTTGTTGTTGCTGTTACGTTTCGTCTGCGACTCATAGCGACTCTATGTACAGCAGCTCTGAACCCTGCCCTGTTCTGAGCCAGCCTCACTGAGCCTGACAGCCACACCAACTCCCACTGCTCCAGTTACTGTATCAATCCATTCATCTGGGGTCTTCCTCTCCTGTGCTGTCTGTTCCTCCCCTAACACAAAGGAAATGAGAGGTGAAATGGTAGGATGTATATTGTTTTGTTTTCTGGACACTTCATCTGAAGTGGTGTATGGAATATGATTTGAAGGTAGACTGTGATGAAGTTTAAAATAGATAATGTATAAATATTTGAATGAAAAGCCAGTATGACTTACAAACTTTGATTAAAAAATACATACATACATCTAAACTAAACAAGGGGTTTCACAATTTGGGTAAATTTAATGTCAGGTTAAACGGAACTATGCTTATTCTTTTGGTACTTAAATTAGTGTTATATTTAAAAACTCTTTTGGAGTCCTCAAAATAAAAGCATGGTATGGAAAAAATACATACAATGTAAACCTAAAATCAGTCACTAAAGTACATTTTAGCACACCCCCCCCTCCCGCCCCCAGCCAAAACCTCAAAGAATGGCTAATAAGGCAACTGCCGAGGTAGAATTAGGAGCCTCGGGTGGAACAGGAATTCAATTACTGGCTGCTAACTGAAATATTGGCTGTGTGAACCCACCAGCCACTCTGTAGGAGAAAGATGTAGCAGTTTGCTTCAGTAAAGATCTATAGTCTTGGGAACACTATGGGGCAATTCTGTCCTATACGGTCCCTGTAAGTCAGATGAAATGACTGGAACACTGTAGAGTTAAAGAGCGTCATAAAAAGAGTCAAGTCCTAGGGGAGCTCTGGTGGCCTAGTGGCAAGAAGTTGCACAGCAACCCCAGAGGTGCACGGTTTGAACCCACCAGATGCTCTGCCGAGGAAGGAGGGACAATCTCCTCCTGTACCAGTCAGATCTGATTTGATGGTACATGCACACACACAAATAATAAAATAAATTTAAAAAAAGAGTCAAGTCGAATAGAGCACAGAGAGATTTAAAGGGAGGGAGAGGAAGGTACAAAGAACTGAGGTTGGGGATGGGGGGGGTGGAATCTGTTTTAGTGCCTTTCTCCAAAATAGGTTGACAGAAAATGTAAGGATTTATTTTGGGACTCTCAATTCCTACTCCACTGATCTTACAGCAGCAATACCATATTTTTTAAAATATATATTTTGGCTCGCATCCAGAATGCATATATATTGTGCTTCACTCGTGTACACTGTGCACCACATTCCTTCATTCACATAATTTCATACAATTATTCATATACATTATTTTACAAAATTAATCACCATTGATCTATGCCTGCTATTGGCCTGTCTTATCAGGTCCTCACTGAATCTTTTCTTTCACCATGATTCTCTGCCAATCAAACTGTTATCCTAGCGATTCTCCCTTCTTCTTCCCCTTTTGGACTTTTATACACATCTTAGGGAGCACTGGTGGTCTAGTGCCAAGAAGCTGCTCTGCAATCCCAATGATACGTGGTTCAAATACACCAGCTGCTCTGGTGAGAAATGGATGGGCAATCTCCTTCTGTGCAATTAACTCTCTCTGAAAGCCTGCTAGAGGGTCAGCTATGGGTCGGTTCTGACTCAAAGTTACACAACAAAAACATACACATCTTACTAGTTACCTATTTTTTTTTAAATTGATATTTTAATGAAAGTTTATAAAGAACTTGGATTTCCATTCATTCATTGTTGCACATTTCACTCACTGCTCCCCCTATCTATTTTTACAATAATGATCCCATGCAGTATTTGAAAGTTATAGAACGGTTCACAAATTTGAATTTCATCCTTGCACCGGGGCCATACTAATCTCTGTATCGTTCCAGTTTTAGTGTGTGTGCTGCCGAAGCGAGCACACCTCATCGTCTTGATAATTAAAGCGTTTGAATCAGGAAGGGTAACTGCTCTTTGTTTTTTCAAGATCATTTCAGTTTGTCTGGATTCCTTAAATTTCTTTATGAATTTTAGAATCAGCTTAATTTTCATTAAACTAACAAGAAACAAAATGCTACTAGTTAGGATTCTAATGAAGAGGAAGTTCCCTCTGTCTATACATCAACTTGGAAGATTGTTATGGTTTTAATCAACTCATTTTCAGAGTGGCTTATAAATGATAACATCGCCCTTCTTGAGGGAGCGATCATTTTGGTATTGATGAAGAAAAAAAGCAGGTGGCAACTTTCTGTATATATATATTGACCACAGATTTTCTGCCTCTAAAGTGAATGGCCCTTTCCTTAGACTGAAGTGTCTTTTGGATTTGTGCTTTCATCTGGATTTCCAGGCTAAGCCCCTGAGTCCACTGAGACTTCTCCCAGGGGCTGCTCTTTGACCTACTCCTCACCGAAGACCAGACTGAAGACTGACTGGCCACACAGAGAACAGTCAAATGGCAACTACCTGACCCTGATCTTCAGATTTCCCCTCTAGCCAAAGACACTTCATTCTTGGAGTAGGGATTTGCTGAGGGAAATGAGCTTTTGCCTGCCTTTACCCCACCCCACCTCCCAACCGAGGGAGCTCTGGTGGCCTAGTGGTGAGAAACTGCTCTGCAATCCTGAAGGCAAGCAGTTCGAATCCAAACAGCTTCTCCACAGGAGTTGTTGTTGTTGTTATGTGCCATCGAGTTGTTTGCGACTCATAGCGACCCTATGCACAACAGCCCTAAACCCTGCTCTATCCTGCGCCAACCACACTGCCTCTGACAGCCATTCCGATTACCCCAGTCACCGAATCAATCCATCTCATAGAGGGTCTTCCCCTCCTGCGCCGTCCCTCCACCCTCCCAAGCATGATGTCCCTCTCCAAGGACCCGTCCCTCCTGGCAACATGTCCAAAGTATGTCAGACGAAGCCCCAGAATCCTTGCCTCCAAGGAGTAGCTTGGTTTAATCCTCTCCAAGATGAATCTGTTTATTTTCCTGGCAGCCCATGGTACATTCAGTACTCTTCTTCAGCACCAGAGCTCAAAGGCATCAACAATACTCCACAGGAGAAGGATGGGTAATCTCCTCCCAGGCAATTAAACTGCTTCTGAAAACCCGCTGAAGGTGGGTCAGCTATGGGTCTGTTTGGACTAGATGGTACACAATAACAACCACCACCACCACCACCACCACCACCACACCTTCCAACAGAAGGAGCCCCAGAGCTAAATCTGGTAAGAGTGGTAAGAAGACAAGAAACAGAGGACTCCCTCAGGCTATCGTTCTAAGATTCCTTAAGCCTAGATCCAAGCTAGCTCCTGAAATGACCTTGCAGTAATATAGCAGAGTGGCACATAATATTCAGTCTGGAAGACAGGCAATCTCCTTCCAAGTGATTTACAGTCTCTGAAAACCAACTGAGTCTGTTTTGATGCTATACAAGAAGAAGACAGGAGGCTTAGGCTAATGAGACCCATCTCCACCGAGGAGGTGTGAGAGAGAGTTGAAAATGTTCCACAGCTTTTGAGGGGTTGACTCTTCTCTTTGTTAATGCTTCTACCCAAATGGTTTAATTTCTACATAGTTAGTGAGGGAATTTCTGAATGGACAAAATCTATCTCTGAGTGTTTGTCTCTCTTTTTCTATCTTACTCAGGAGGCACACCTGACACCATATTGATAGAGTGTACTGGATTTAAGACAAGGGAGTGAAGAGACATTGTGTGAAGGTAGCATGCCCCTGAGGTCCTCCCATTACCTTTTCCCTTTGAAGACTTCAGCTTATGATTCTGCTCCTTTCTCAGCAGGATAGGAAACAAGTTTAAAAAATCAGAAGAGACAAGTCCCTGCAGTTTGCTTCAGGCCTGATCTACAGCCAGGCCAAGTGTGTGCTTTATTAAGACAGGAAAAGCCTCAGAGGAGAAGGCAGCACACAGCAGCCAGGAATCTAGAAAAATAACGCATGATTCAGGACAATTAGGAAAAAACACAGTCATTATTTTAAGGCAAAGAGTGACCAGAGTGAGGGAATGGATGAGGGGAAAGAAGAAAAAGATGTCTTTTGCCAGCCTAAGCCACACTGGGGCCTAGCGGAAGTAGTTGGGACATTCATGGGCAACCAGATGCCAGGCTTGGTTAAAGGCGTCTACGACAGCAGGTTCCAGGGGCCCTTCCTCTGTTGCTGCCAAGTTCTGCTCCAGCTGCTCCAGGCTGGACATGCCCAGGATGACTGCATCCCCATGAGCACCCTGCAAGGGGAGATGGCCAGACTTCAACACACTGCTCAGTGACACCTGTCAAGTTAAGGGCCCTTTTAAGGTGCCTTCAAAAGGTGTAGCCATGTGATTCCAAGCCCTGTATTCTTTCTCCTGCTACACTGTTTCATCCTCAGACAAGCCTGCATCCAGGCTGAGACTCAATTGTCCTCTAATTTGCAGGGTGGTAATGGGAATGAAAGGTTATGGAAAACACTCAGCGCCCATTTATTGAGCACCCTCTAGATGTCAGACACTATGCAGCAGTGTAAGGCTGGAGGTGGAAGAAACCTAGAACATCAGGAGACAGGCAGGCTCCCCAACTCCCAACAGGTTGAGCACTGAGGCTACTAGATTTTGGAATTGAACTTGAGTTAAATTTTCTACCATCTTAACAGCTGTGTGGGCAATGAGGTTTCTTCATCAGTAAAACTAGGATAATTGTACTTTATAAGATCTAATTAACAATGTAATCCAAGTTTGTAAAGCTTTTATTTGAGGGTCAGTTCCTTAAGTGGTGTCTAAGGATAATTGGAGAATTGCAACAGAGATGATTATCTGGAGAAGCACAAGATCTCTTTAGAAATGATCAAGCAAAGGAGTTTCTGGATTTCCTAAAAGGGCAGGAGCAGAGCTCCCAGGGACAGCGGATTTACCTGGAGCTGGGAGTGGTGGTACATCCACCGCAGGGCAGCTGAGGTCATGCTGGGGGCACTGGGGCCATAAGCAGCCTGCAGGGCCTTCTCCACCAGGGCAATGGCTTTGAAGTGGTGCTCCTTCCAGAAGCTGGGCAGGTGGGGAGGGTAGTACAGAGGTCATTACAGTGAGGGTCAGACTAGCAACCGTACTCAAAGAACCAGTGAGGGGAGCTGTCTTCTCCCTAAACCCTATAGCACTAAAGGGCCGGTAACATCACTAGCAACAGTGCTCCTACTTTTTTTGGCACTGGAAACACTTAGAATGCTGATTCCTGCACAAGACACTGTTGACATGTTTACTCCTAAGATTTCACAAAATCTGCCCTTCTATTACCTAGGGGAAAAGGTAGCCATACAGGTGGCAGGATGAGGCCCAGTCTCAACTAAACCTAGCGTTCTTTCTTTCCCCTTCAGCAGATGACATAATCTTCCAAGGGTAGATGTAAGACATTGGCAGGAACTCTGTTATTATGTTCTGTCAAGTCATCTCTGACTCACAGTGACCATATGCATAATAGTGATGAATCCTGCTCTATCTGGACCAATTTCACTGTCTCTAACACACCTACCCTCATTACCTCAGTTACTGTGTCAATCCATCTCATCTGGAGTATTCCTCTTCTGCCTTGACACTTCCAAGCAAAATATCCTTCTCAAAAGACTGGCAGAAACTCTAGGGATCCTCATATCCCCACCAAGGCTCCCAAAAGAAGAAACCACATAGGAGTTTTGGTGATCCTGTCAGAAATCAGCCCGAGTTGTAGGCCTGAACCCCCAAGAAAGCAGTGAGCTTCTCTATTTCAGTGAAAGGGGCCCCCATCATCCTGATGCAGATATCCCAGCTCACCGATTTCTGTAGGTCTCTGCCCAGCTATTCCCAAAGAAGCGGCCCGTGGGCTGTTTTCCATCTTTGTCTTCATACTTGTACTTGCCAGTCAGAAGACCCCCTAAAGAAAGCTGTAAGTCAGACTATGGGCCAGACTACTCTGAGAGACTGGAGTTCCCTAGTGGCTCTGTGCTAGGGGCTGTGGGAGACCCAGGAAGAAATAGAGAACACAGCTCAGTGTAATGCCACACCCTTCCCTGTCTCCCCCAGGTCCTGGGATAGGTACCCAATTGGTTATGAACAGGCAAAAGTAGGACCAGGAATGCCTTCCACCCCAGGAGTTGACATTATCCCACAACATTCTTACCAGCCAAAGGGTTGTAGGCGTAGAACCTCAATCCAAAGTGCCTGAGGCAGGGGAAGAGTTCTGTTTCCACTTGCCGAGTGGTGGCATTGTACATGCCCTGCAAGGAGAGGGACCAGCTGGGGAGGACTGTGTAAAGAGAGGCACTCTAGCTTTACCTCTGCAGAACCCTCAGTCAAAACTTGCCCAGGATTTCAGAAAGGAAATCTAAAATTATTTTAGTGGTGTCATTGCGTAATTTGAAGATGATAGCCAACTGAACGAAACTGTACATTTAAAAATTGTGGGGCTACTTGTATATTTTCTCTCTCACACACTCTCTCTCTATTGGCAACAAAAAAATGACTCCTTGGATGAGGGGATGAAGAGATAGTACCAGACCAAAGGAAAAGAAATTGGATTGGGATGTCCATGAGCACCAGCTGTGGGCTGGGCACTGGACATACCACCACAGACAAGTTTAAAAAATATACAAAGCAGAGATGGTAGGTTCTGTGATCACGGTGAGTTCTCAAAACACTTGCTGATGGAGAGCTCTGGTAGCCTAGTGGCAAGAAGCTGTACTGCAGTCTCAGAGGTGAGCAGTTTGAATCCACCAGATGCTCTGCTGGAGGACGATCTCCTCCTGTACCAGTCAGATCCAATTTGACGGTACACACACACACACACATGCAAAAAAATTAAAAAAAAAAAAATTTTAAAACCCCACTTGCTGATGGAACGAAAATGAGGCATTGGAGAATGGACACTAATCCAGGCGGAAGTGCAGAAAGAAAAGGGTGGCAATGAAAGGACTCAGATGGGCAGTGAGGCAGGAAAGGAAGGCATAGGTGCAGTAAGCAGGTGCCTGTGTGCCAGGCTGAAGAATTACAACCTGAGATCAAAGGAGCTTCTACAGACCTAAGCAGGGAGGTGGCTTCTAAGCAGAGGACACTGGGACAGTCAGAGTGGCCAAGAGAACTGCGGTGAGGCCTTTGCGCCCCAGCCTCACCTGATACACTGTTGGCAGGATCCAGCCATGGCTCTTGCAGAGGGTCCAGATCTCAGCCACCTCCCAGGAAGCATAGTTGGAGAGACCAAGCTCCACAAACTTGCCCTGAAGAAGAGAGACCGTGGTCTGACCTCATGAAATCTAGGACATCAGGAAGGAGAAGCCGATGAAGACTAGGGTGAGGCTTGTGCTCAGCACCCTCTGGAACTGCCCTGGTGCCTTCACTCTCCTAGATAGTTGACCGGCCAACGAGAGAAGCTGTAGACACCTGCAGGTGGCGATCCTCACCTCCTGGTGCAGCTGGTGGCAGGCCTGCAGTGTCTCCTCTATGGGGGTGCTGTGGTCGGGTGCATGTAAGTAGAAGAGGTCCACCTTTGGACACTGCAGCCGCTTCAGTGACGTTTCCAGCTGGGACCGGACACTATCAGGCTTCAGTGACTTCCCATCCCAAGGGTTGGCTTTGGTGGCAATTTTCACTTGGAAGAAGAGGATGGTGGTAAGAGACTAAGAAATCACTTAATAATTAACATCACTTACTAGCCACATGACTCAGGCTAAATCACTTAAGAACTTTAAGCCTCAATTTTCTAGTCTGTAAAATGCAGGTCACAATAATGGAACTATCCTCACAGTCAAGTCAAGAGTATTAAGTAACATTGTAAATAAAAATCATCAATGTTCATTGCTCCTATAATCACAGCTAACCACTGAACTGCCCATCCAAGCTGTGCACGAGGGGCCGAGCACCCAGAACAGCAGGTACAGTGGAGAAATACAAGGAGCCTTGAGAAGTGTGGTGAGGCTACCAAGGCATTCCAGAGAACATTTCCTGTAACCAACGACCCCCCCAGCTGAGTCTCCAAAAAATGAGTCAGATTACAAGGGAAAATGGGAAATTCCAACATGTGGGAACATGGGCAAATCTACAGAGGTGAGAACAGCACAAGGGCATATACCTACAATTCTGTTACATGTGAACAAATTCCAGGGCAAGAAGTAGTGGATATGACACAAAAGCAAGCACACACATAATCTGAAAAAGTCTCAAACATCACCCCACCGAATCATCATGACAGCTACAGTAGCCATTTAAAGGTTTTTAAGTCAGGGCATGGACTGATCAGCTATGTCATTTACATAGCTACGTTGGTTTACTCTGGTTGCCACGCAAAGCAAGAACTGCAGCGCAGGCAGGCTTAGGAACCAGGAGACACGGTAATTAAGACTATGCAGGAACTCAGAAGGTGTGCTGGAGAAGAGTACTGAATATCTCTTCAGAGTGCTGAACGAACGAACAGATTTGCCTTCAAGAAGGGCAGCCAGAGTGCTCCTTGGAGGTAAAGCTTCATCTTTCACTCTTTGGACATTTATCTAGGTGAGGCTATTTTTTGGAAATCAACATCATGCTTAGAAAATAAGAAAGGAAGACCCCCAATGAGATGGATTGACATGGTGTCTTCAGCAATGGGCTTTAGTATGTCAGATGATGAGGATGGCACAGGATAGGACAGGGTTCAGGTGGGCTGTTCATAGGTTGCTATGAGTTATACTTGACTTGATGGCCGCTAACCATAACAACAACAATCTGTTAGCTGATCATGAGCTACAGTGGCAGAGATGAATTGAGTAGAAGGCAGTCAGAGTTTCCCTTCCTGCCCAGCCTTACAAGCGGTGTACACATACCCCACTCCAGATACACAATCCCTCTGAGAACAAGACAGTGTCAGTACATGCACCTGTGCTTCCCCTACAGAGATTCCCAGGTATGTAAATCATTGGGTGAGGAGGTATTTTTCATGAGTGGCAAAGTCAACTCAGAGGGCAGGGAGCGGAGGGTGGCATCTAAGTTTCTTGTCTAAATTTTTTGCATTCCTCCACATCTTCTGCCCATTCTTGGTGTGAACTTGGGCCCATTGGGTCTTTGGACTCAGAGAAGGAAGAGGGGAAGGGATGGAGGATACCCAATTCTGAAATCTTCCCTATCTACAAATCTGAGAAGAGTGTGGGTCTTAGGTATTATGCTCCCATTCTGTTCTTGCAGATCCACCAGGCTATGGAGCGAAGGACCTTTCCCACAGTGGAGAGGAAGATGGAAATAAAAAGCAGTAAGGTCTGGTAATCCTGACAACTGATTGACAGTTAAGGTTGATGAGGCAAGCCCTCACTCTGTGCCAGACATCACCCTAAGCACTTGGAATTGTACCAGCTACCGAAGGACAAAGTCCTCACCCCATCCCACCTTCTTCTTGCCCTCCGTGCAAACACCATGCACTTTGCACTCCTTTGCCAGATTTTGCACAGTTGTGCCCTGAGCCTCTCTTTTTCTATACAGCAATCTGCCACTGATTTTTTTAAGGCTCAACACCAGTGTTCACTTCTCTAAGACTTCCTGGTGCTAATACTAACCCTGTCCCCCAGCCCCAGAAAGTGCTTCCTTGTCTGAGCTCCCCACAAATACTTGGTTTTATCTTCAATATAACTCTGCACTCCCAGGGAATGGTTAGAGTCAATTTCCCTGCTATGATCATGGAACGGAGACTACAACTCATGGTGACCTCATTTATGTCAAGAGTAGAATAGTGCACCATCCATAGAGTATTCAGAGGCTGCTTTCCTGGAAGTGGATCACCAGGCCTTTCTTCCAAGGTGCCTCTGAGTGACATGAACTTCACCCTTGGCAGTTAAGTCAACTGTGTGGCTGTTTTCATCAGCCAGAGTCTTTTCCTCCTGTAGTCAATAGCAAAGGTTAACATAACAAATAGAAAGGCTTTTCTATTCATTCCCCAACTACCCACAAGAACAGTTATAATAACTATCTCTGAGAGAGGTGGTAAAGGTAGTGCCAACTGAGCAGGGCAAAGTCTAGGGCCTGGTTAAAGACCCGGATAAGAGGCGGATCTCTCACCCACCGCAAAGACTTGGCTGGAATGTGTCCAGGGGGCAATCAAGGCAATGGGGGAGGGGATAATTTATTAGCACCTGACAGCTGGGGATAAGGGTTGCACCAGAAAGCTGGGGGGTTGGAACTGAAAGGCTAAATCAGGCTTGGGAGCGTTCCCAAGACTGCACCCCAAGTAAGGAGGGGTTTAATAGAGGAGTTCCCAGACTGCACCTCAAGTAAGGAGGAGTGAAGGGAAGATAATGGGGGCAAAGCAACGTTCACTTGTGCAGCGCCTGATGTGGACAGTGTCTGAAGACCTTGGGGGTTCACAAAGCTGTGGGTTTGTCCTGGGGAGGTACTCTGAGAGGAGGGCGGAGCTGTCATTCTTGACTGCTGCTTGGCAGGAGTGGGGCGTGTGCACTGGGGGACACAAGTCGGTGTGCCACCGGCCAGGAGGTGAGGGGTCCGAGGCGGAACTCCAGGAGTTACCTTTGCAGTCGCCGCCGCCCAGCCCGAGCCCCATACCGCCCAGGATGCTCTCACTCTGGCCGTCAGAGTACATATAGGCCGTGTCCAACTCGGTGTGGCCTCGCTCCTGGAAGGCGCGCACGGCCGCGGCGCTGGCGGACGGATCCATGCGACGCCCCATCTCCATGGTGCCCAGCACCGTGGCTGGCCGGGACAGGGGGCTCGAGGCGGCCCGCGGCGATGGCTGGGCCATGGCGGTAGCACGGACCCGGAGAGGTCGGGAGTTACGCGCGCAGCGTATGGCAGCGCGGGACACGGCGCGAGACGCAGCAAGCAGCATAAGGATGGCGCCTGCGCACTGGGGCACCTCGGGATCCGCTCTCCATCGTCGGGGCGGAGCGTGAGTGCTAGGTATAAGGGAACGAGGACAAGTACGGCGGCGCACCCCCACGCACGGAGACGCCGAGAGCGCGAGCCAGGCAGTCAGGGACCCTCTGCCAACTGCAAGATGTGAGAGGCGGAGTCGCAGGAGGCGGCTCCCGGGGCGTGACGATGGCGACAGCGTGGGTCAGCTGACCGGAGGAGAGAGGACGAAACACCGAAGCCGGCCTCTGGCGGCTGATCTGGACTTGGTGAGTTGGTCTGGGGACCCCAGGCAAACGCGAAGCCTTGGGGGGGGGGGGGCATATGGGGGAGTGTCCGGCACTTTTGGGCTTTCGTGACACATCTTACCAACATTCTCGGCTTCTCCTTGAACCCTCCTCCCATGGCTCCTTGTTAGTTCTTCTGGCGCGAGATTCTGGGACGAGGCCCCCCCCGCACTGGTGTTGGGTGTCTCTGCTGCCCCCGGTCCAGGGGCGACCAGCATGTCCTTTCGTACCACCACGGCCAGAGGTTGAACCTTGTGAGTCCCCGTTTTCAGCTCCTGATGGGAACGAACCCCTGGTTTTCCCCGGCCAGGCTCTGTGGCGATCAAACCTCAGGCCCCAGCCACTACCCTGTCATTATCCTTGCAAAATAAGCGACCAGAGCTGGGCTGAGTCACCAGGAGGAGGTTGTTGTTGGGGACACGGAGACCTGATGCAAATGGTATCCGTAAGTCGGGATGCCCCTCTCCTCCAGGTATTCCTAGGTCTGCAAGGAATGGAGTCACATTGTTGTATCCCACTCTCAATGCCTAGGGTGGGCTTTGATGAGTTACGTGGGGATAGTCAGGAGTGACCTGGGTGAAGTGTAACGACTGCCCAGGATTGGCAGGTCTTGTCCCTTCAACACCTGAAGGCTTCTGTGTGCCAGGCACCGTGCGAGGGCTGCGGTGAGAACAGAACAGATAGCTTTTCACGATTGTACTACTGAGTGTTTACATGCTGGGCACCATTCTCACCATTTGAATGATCTCACGTAACTCCGATCCACCTAGGTGATGGGTACTGTACTGTATTATCCATCTATTTTACATATTAGGTTGCTGAGGTGTAATCACTTGCCCACGAGCATAGTAGGTATCTGTATTATCTATTGCTGATGTCAGATGGATCCTGGCTGAAAGCAGTGAATACCAGAAGAATGTCTATTCGTGCTTTATTGGCTACGCAAAGGCATTTGACTGTGTGGATCATAGCAAACTATGGCTAATATTGCGAAGAATGACAAAGAATCCTAGGACACTTAATTGTGCTCACGCGAAATCTATACCTATATCTATACCTACAACAGAGAAACCATAAATAAAGCCTTTAACAGAAATTTATTCTCTTATATTTAGGAATTTAGAAGTCACTTAAGGATATAAACTCCAAGGGAAGTCCCCCTCTCTCTGTCAATTCTAGAAGAAAGGCCTTGTTTCCTTCAGCATCTGTAGGCCCTGCGTTCCCTGGGACCTCCATTTGTCCAGGAGTTTCATGGGTCCAGAAGCTCACACTCCACTCCAGGTGGTATTAGGGTCTTCTCCCCCACTTGACTTGCTTTCCTCCCCTTTATCTCCAGTGAGATGAAAGATATTAAGATCTACACTCTATTTATATCCTTTATGGGATTAGGGAAAGTTGCATTATCCTTAACCCTTTGTCCTACACCTATTTGGTCTAACAGATTATAGAGGAACATTACACAGCTTCCACATTATATTCATTTATTTGTGGGAAGGTATAGAACTCAATTCATATGAGGTATCAGACTGGTGATTTCTATCCACGTTGGTTTCTCTTTAATTAAAACACACAACTAGATCACTCATAGAAATGCCTGTCGGAGAGTCTAGGCACAGACAGGAAATGATATTTGGATGACCTCAAGGAATTTGTACTGACTCTTACAGAGGAGAAACGAGGGACAGAGACTTGGTGAGCTTCATTGAATAAGCTGTTTCCTTGACTTAGTTTGGAGTCTCAAAGAGAAGCTAAAGTTTGCCAGGAGATGCTATCTCCAGCCCAGCCGAGCTGCACTGGATATTAAAATACACACCCCCACCACAGCCTTTCCCCCAACTCCTTGACTGATGACCCTGTTTACTCAGTGCTGTTAGACATGGGGGTGAGTTCACTCCTAGGAGCTAGTCCTGAGGTTCAGGCTCCCTACTTGGAACAACTTTTATAGGTATTTGTAAGGGACCCTGTAATTAACAGCCATTTGTTCAGGATCAGGTGTGTGTCAAGTATGCTGACCTGGGCCTGTAAATAAACCAGGTACATTCCTCAGGATACATGCCTAGGAGCTCTGGTGACATATTCATAGAGAGCTAACCCAAAGATTGAGCCTCTGACGATTCTAACCTCCCTGCACTCCAAGGGAGAAATAGGGGCATTCTCCTCTTGAAATTTTCAGTCTGAGAAACCCAATGGAGGGTCAGCTATGAGTCGGTTCTGACTCAACTGCAGTGAGACATTCCTCAGGACCTCACTCCCCATTAGACCTTGAGTCCACTTCACATCCTCTGTCACCTTCTAAAAAGAGGGGGTGAAAGGCAGGCTTCAAAGTAGTTAGAAGACTGGACACTCATCATAAGGACAGTCAATACTATTTATGTTGGCTGCTGGGCAAAGAGTTTTATGTGCCTTTATTCTGAACATCAGCTCAAAGAAGCTTGGTGTAATTTACATTACCTAGCCAAACTCAGGCAGGTTAGCTTCCTTGTCCAAAGTCACTAAACTTTAGGGTCTAGCCTTAGGCAGGTGGATATTAAAAATTAAGAGTTAGCATATAATTTTTTTAAAAAGCAAACAACTCACCACAGCAAGATAAAGGTAAATAATCCAATTGAAAAATGGGCACAGGATATGAACAGACACTTCACCAAAGAAGACATTCAGATGGCCAACAAGCGCATGAAGAAATGTTCAAGATCCCTAGCTCTAAGAGAGATGCAAATCAAAACAACTTTGAGATAACATTTCACCCCAGTCAGAATAGCAAAATTTAACTGAACAGCAAACAACAAATGCTGGCGAGGTTGTGGAGAAAGTGGAACCCTTATTCACTGTTGGTGGAAGTGTAAAATGGCATGGCGCTTTCTCAAAAAGTTGCTAATAGAGATACCATTTGACCCAGCAATTCCACTACTGGGAATATACCCCAAAGAGACCATAACTGACAACCAAGCAGATATATGCATACCCATGTTTATCGCAGCTTTGTTTACAATAGCAAGGAATTGGAAACAACCTAAGTGCCCATCAACAAATGAATGGATAGAGAAGCTGTGATATATTCACACAGTGGAATACTATGCTGCATTGAAAAACAAGGAACTCATGCAATATTCAAAATGGGTGACCCTGGAGAACATTATGCTGAGTGAAATATCTCTGTCACAAAAGGACAAATGCTGCATGGTGCCACTGTTGTAAAACAGGACTGACTGACCTCAGGGTTGGGGGGAGACTGAGAAAAACTGGATAAATTATGTATACTGCATTGAAACAGATGAGGGAGAGAACAATTTAAAAGCGATATATGATAGGGTCATCACAAGAGTCCAGAATTAAGGTTGCATAGTGGAGTGTACTGGGGCAGTGGGGGGGTGAGGTGTGGGGGGATTGTATACCAATGGAAGAATTTTTCTTTTACTTCTCAAAGAGAGGAGCAAAATGGCTAGGGGAGGGCTGAGCAGGGAGAAAAGTGCAACAATGAATGAATGGAAATCCAAAATCTCTGTAAATATTCATAAAATTAATAATATAAATTTTTTTAAAACAAAACAAAACAAAAAACAAAAACAAAAAAACAACCAAGTAAGGTGTAAGGCCACTATCAGGGAGAGGGGAGTAAAAATTAATAAATAGGTAAGTTCAGTGAAGGGAAAGGCAATAGTTAATAAGGGATTGATGAGACATTGTAATAAATTACACTAGTAAATGATGTTTTTCATTGCTGACAAGTTGGAACCAAATCATAGCTGAAGATCCAGTGGGTTTTTAGCCTATAAATCACATGGGAGAAGATTGTCCACCTTTCTACTGAGGAGCAGTTGGTCATCTCAAATCTCATACCTCTGGGTTGGCAGTACAGCTTCTTACCACTGGGTCACCAGAGCACCCATAATCAGTGGTGATTATTGTTATAAAATAAGAATATTAGGGAGCTCTGGTGGCCTAGTGGCAAGAAGCTGCACTAAAGTCCCAGAGGTGTGCGGTTCAAATCCACCAGATACTCCATTGGAGAAGGAGGGACAATCTCCTCCTGTACCAGTCAGATCTGATTTGATGGTACATGCACAAAAAATAATAAAATAAAATAAATTTATGAATTGTTACATTAAAGGAATCTGATTTATAAAAAATGCATTCAAATAAAACAATAAATAAAAAAACAAACAACTATGTCCAACACACAATCTAGAAACTAGCCATGCTCACTCTTTTTTTAAAATATTTTTATTATGAACGTTTACAGAGCCTTTGGATTTCCATTCATTCATTGTTGCATTTTTCTCCCTCCCCACCCCTCACCCCCAGTTCGCTCTTCTCTTTGAAAAGTAAAAGAAAAATTCTTTCATTGGTATACAATCTCCCCTCCCACCCCGAGTACACTCCAGTATGCAACCTTCATTCTGAACTCTTGTCGTAATCATAATACCTAATCATTTATAGCTTTTAAACAGTTCTCTCCCTCATCTGTTTCAATGCGGTGTACATAATTTATCCATTCTTTCTCAGTCTCACCCCAACCCTGATGTCAGTCCCGTTAAAGGCCCAACTTGAGATAAAGCTCTGGAGCACAGCTGGTGGGAGTGGACTTGGATTCCTTTTCAAACAGACTCACAGCCCCTTTCAAATCACTTAACCTCTCTGAACCTGTTTTTCATCTATAAAATGGGGACAGCAGGCTAGTACGTGATGAGCTGCAGTTGCTTCGTCAGAATCTACGTGAGAAGGGGCGCGGGGGTGGCTGTGTCCCCAGCATCAGGGTCCCTATATTCCTCAGCTCTAAGGCCTTCATGTCCCCCAGCTGCAAGGCCTCCGTGTCCCTAGCTACGGGACCTCTCTGTCCCTTAATTGTGGGGCCTCTGTGTCCCCAGCTGCGGGGCCTCTGTGTCCCCCAGATGTAGAGCCTCCGTGTCCCCAGTTCCAGGGCCTCTGTGTCCCCAGTTCCAGGGCCTCCGTGTCCCCAGTTCCAGGGCCTCCGTGTCCCAGTTACAGGGCCTCTGTGTCCCCGAGCTGTAGGGCCTCCGTGTCCCCCAGTTGCAGGGCCTCTGTGTCCCCACCTGTGGGGCCTCTGTGTCCTCCAGCTGTGGGGCCTCTGTGTCCCCACCCGTGGGGCCTCTGTGTCCCCCAGCTGCATAGTCTCTGTGTCCCCAGCTCTAGGAGCAGCCCCAGCTCCAGGGCCTCTGTGTCTGGGGGTTAGTCACATTGGGCTGAGTCCGGACCTTTCTTGGAGAAGTAGCTGACTAGCTTCTTCTCCTTCCTGATGCTCTCTGGTCGCTGCAGCCTCAGCAGTTCTGCCAGTCTGGCCAGGTCATTGCTTTATGAGGGGCTCAGGCCGCCTGAAACTGAAACAAGAACTGAAGGTGGCTGCAGAGTCCTGACCAGGTGAGGAAACTCCCTCGGAGCACAGTGAGAAAAGCCCCCAGCTGGCGGGCTGGGGGTAAGCGGGCCAGGCGTGCCCTGACCACAGAACGTTCCTCGAAGTGAAGGCAGCCTGACAGGATGGCTCTGAGCACGGGCTCAAGTTAGGGGCCTGAGTTTCCTGCTTCCTGGCTGAGTGCTCCTTAGAGTGGATGTGAGGACAAAATGCATGATGGCAAAGAGTTCAGTAATCTGGGGTGGCGATTTTTAGCACCTGGTCCAGACGGCTCCAGCCTGGGCTTAGTTTCCCACTTCACCTCCCTTCTCTAGGGTCTTCGCATGGGCAGTCCCCCTGCTCCAGCCGCTGTCCATGCTTCCTGGCTGCCTCTGCAATCAGACCGGTCCTAGCTTGTTGGTGAGGAGTCGGGGTGGCCCTGGATTCCTTACCAGCCGGTGTTCCGCAGAACACCTGAGCTATTGCTTTGATGAGAATACGAGCGAGAGCACCTGGCTGGACTTGAATCACAGGGTTCGACTTGGTCCTAATTCACCACTGGGCTTATTTGACTAAGAGAGACAACCTCACTTTCTAAACCAAACCCAATTGCTGTCGAGTCTGTTTCGACCCATAGCTCCCCACCCCATTGGGTTTCTGGGACTGTAAACCTTTACAGGAGAAGACCACCCAGTTTTGTCCCATAGAGCAGCTGATAGATTCAAATTGCTGACCCTTTAGTTAGCTGTCTGATCTATGACATACTACATTCTACCTTGACCTTTTTTTGAGGGGGAATTAAATGCCTAATATGCCTCAGCAGACCCACACAGAGTCATTTCAGTAACAAAAATTTGGAAGCAATCTAACTGTTCAAGAATTATAACAAAAAATATTATTTGAGGACTCAGTTCTGCTTTGAATCCTCACAGCAGTCCTGTGAGGGAGGCACTATATCCAGCTTCGTTTTGGAGATGAAGGAACAGAGTTGCAGCATTAACATGTGGTAAAGCTGGGATTTGAGTAGTCTTGTCCCTGGCTATGAGGACCCTGGTGGTATAGTAGTTAAAGCTCTGTGGGGGAGATGAAGGAGTCTGCTTCTGTAAAGTTTTATAGCCTTGGAAACCTTATGGGTAGTTCTAGTTCATCCTGCTGGATCACTGTGAGTCAGAATCCACTAGATGATATTGGGTTCTTAAGCACAGATCCCTGTGCTTAAGAATCTCTTACCTACTAACCTGAAGGTAGATGGTTCGAACCCACGAAGCATAACTGTGGAAGAAAATTCCTGGTAGTCTGCTTCCAAGTTGCAATTCTCACAGTTCTACTCCCTAAATTATATGTGTGAATTGACTTGACAACAACAGGTTTACCTGTGGGTGCTTGGGGTTTTGTGTTTTTTTTTTATGGTCCCTGGCCATAGATCCATACTGTAAAAAGAACAAGGGTCACATAGTGATGGCCATGTGTGACATTTACCAGGTTTACAAAGGGGAACTGTTCCCATCAACAGCATCAACAACACAAAACCAATTCCTTTGAGGTCAGACATAACCCTTATGCTCGCTTACCTCTTTCTATTCCTCTCAACACCAATCTTACTGCTTTACGGGGTTCAGAATCTGATGCAATAGCTCACAGTCCACATAAAACCACATTGGGGAGGCCAAAAGGCTATAATTCACGTTAGTAGCAGAGTACAGTCAGATGCTCACGGACACCTCAGCCTTGAGTCTCATGGCTTTAGGCCAGTGTTACAAAGTTCTCGGTCCTGCCAATATTGGCTCTTCCTCCCACCTCTCCACAGTTGTCCAATAAACTTGGACAAAGACTGTTGGCTTAGGTCTGGTTCTATCTGTGGAGGTAGCAGTCAGCTCCATTCCTTGTTGGCTCCTGGTCCTCTGTGTAAGCTGCTATGGCTGTTGACCTGGTCCTGAAGCAGGAGTTGCACTCTCTTGCTTCTTTGCTGCCAGGGGAAGATGCATCAGCTGCTGGATCGCTAAATTTAATGGTGAGATGAGCCAGTCCCTTGTAGGTTGGTGAAATAGCCAAACCCCTTGTGGACAGGCTAACATGCCCTATTCGTGTATTCCGGCCCAGCCATATGGCAAAGTCAAGCAATGGTAGGAAAGCCATTTTGAATAATCCCTTAATTCCACACATGTGCTGACTGCTCTTGCTCACGTGGCTGACGTGCTTATTTGATCTCTTTCTGGAAGGATGGTTGTGGCCAAGAACTATATCAATCCTTCTCTGGTTCAGTAGTTCCTTTAATGCTGGGTGACATGCCTGGGTTTGAGCTTGTTGTGGAACCGTAATGAAGACTTAGACCTCACAAGGCTGAGTGTTTCCTCTCTTATTCCCCATAGAACCTTCACCTACTTCAGTCATCAGTGTCCTCTGTTCTGAGCAGAACTCCTTCCAGTCATGATCTTGAGGAAAGTGGACTTTGGCAACTTCTCTGACTGCCCCAATGGCTCCCGCCAGTGGATATGGGACATGTTTGGTGAATGTGCCCAGGACTGCTGGGATGATGCCAGTGTGGGCCTGGGTCTGATCTCCATTCTCTGCTTTGCTGGATCCACCTTCCCGTGAGTAGCTCCAGGGTAGCAGGACCAGGGTGTGGGGTAGGAGTGGGTCATGACTCCAGGACTGCTTAGAGTAGGTGTTTCCTGGGTCTCTTTAGGGTCACGATGTCTGTACTCCTCTAGCCCAAACAAGAGTCACCTGCACTGAACCCCACCAGAGGCCAGGCATTTAACAACACTCATTACTGTTTGAGTACCCACTGTGTATCAGATTCAGTGCCAAGTTCTTGATGTGTTTTAAGTTCATTTAATCCTAAAACCCTCTAATGTAGAAACTGTTACTATCTTCATTTTGTAGATGTTGTTGTTTTTAGGTGCGGTAGAGTCAAGTATGACCCATAGTGATTCTATTAACAACAGATCTGAACCCTGTCCTATCCTGGGCCATCCTCACAATTCTGACACATGACAGCCTATTCCAAAAGACACTGTGTCAGTCCATATGGTTGGAGGTCTTCCTTTTTCAACCTCCACCTTCCCAAGCATGATGTCCCTCTCCAAGGAATAGACTCTTCTAGCAACATGCCCGAAGTGTGTAATGAAGCTTTATCATCCTTGCCTCCAAAGAGCACCATGGCCGCACTTTTCCAAGACATACATGTTTGTCCTTTTGGAAGTCCATGGGATATTCATCACTCTTCTCCCACATCACTGTTCAAAGGCATCAGTAATTCTTCTGTCATCCTTTTTCCTTGTCCAGCTCTCAGCTACATAGCAAGTGATTGAAAAGACCATGGCCTGAATCAGGTGTACCTTAGTCCTGAAGTTGACATCATTGTTCCTCAATAATTTGGAGAGTTCCCTGACTGCAGACTTTCACTGTACAATACATCTCCTGATCTCCTGACTGCTAGTACCAACAGTATCATTTGTAGGTGAGGAAACTGAAACCCGGGGAATTTAAATAACTTGCTATATAGGTTGCACAAGATGGGGTAGAAAGTCTGGTATGCATCAGGCATGGTTCAGATGCTCTGAAACAATGATCTTTGCAGGGATCGGGGAACTAAGACACAATGTGTTACCTCACAAAGAGTGAGTCCTGTATCCCCTTAGCTCCTCCATGGGAATTAGCAATTCTTTTTACATTTCCCTTCTTATGATGTAGAATGTTTTATTAAAATGCTCAGTAAGAGTAGCCAGGCACTATCCATTTCTTATGGTGGCAAAGGAGGCAATTAGCCACACATTTCATATCCTTTTCCCACTGCTTTTCATGTCCACATTTTTTTTTTTTGCGTGGACATATATTTTCGCTTTTCTTGGGTATATACAAGGAGTGGGATTGCTGTATCATTAAGTAACTGTGTTTAGCCTCTTGAGGAACTGGTAGCTGCACCATTTTCCATTCTCACCGGCAGTGTGTGAGGGTGCCAACGTCTCCAGATCGGTTGTCACTTTATTATCCCTCTTTTGTTACTACATCCATTCCCATGAGTGCCAAGTCATAGCTTTGATTTGCTTTCTCTCATGGATAGTTATGATAAGCAGCTTTTTATGTGCTTACTAGCCATTTGTATACCTTCTTTTGTTCAAATCCTTCTGGTCATTTAAAATTTTTATTTTATTTTTAAGTATTTATTATTTTTTTTAATTGTTGCACATTTTCTCCCCACACTCCCCCAGCACACCCTGCAATGCACCCTTTGTTCCAGAGTGGTGTTGTACATATAATGCCTAATCATGTGTTCCTTTTGGTCACTTCTTCCCCTCATCTGTTCTAATGCAATGTTCATTATCTAGACACTCTTTCCCCATTCTCTCCTCCACCCTTCCCTTTTTTTTCTTTTTTTTTACGGGCGTTTTTTTGCAGAGTTTGTCCTTTTGTGACTAAGATATTTCACTCAGTATTAGATCTTCTTGGCTTCCTCATGTTGTATAATATTTTATGAGTTCATTGTTTTTCAATGCTGTGTAATATTCCATTTTGTGAATGTACCATAGTTTTTCTGTCCAGTCGTTTGTTGATGGGCACTTGGGTTGCTTCCATCTCTTTGCTATTGTGAACAACACAGCAAAAAATATTGGCATGCATACATCTATTTGAGTTGTGGCTCTGTTTCCTTTAGGGAATATTCCCAGTAGTAGAACTGCTGTGTCAAATGGTATTTCTAGTTCCAACTTTTTGAAAAAGTGCCAGACTGCTTTCCATACTTGTACCATTTTACATTCACACCAGCAGTGAGTAAGAGTTCCAGTCTCTCCACAGCATTGCTGACATTTATTGTTTGCTGCACTGTTGAACTTTGCTATTGTTGCTGGGGTGAGGTGACAGCTCATAACTGTTGGTGTTTTTTGTTTTTTTTTCCTTCAATAAAAAGAAAAATAATGTATTTAGTATTGGAGGTTTTGAGAAAACAGTACAATAAGCAATAAATATATAAAAACAATCCTTCCTGTCCTGTATTGATGACCAAATTAATTTAACATTTGGTTAATGTTTGCCCAAATTTTATCTTAAAATCAGTTATTAGAAATAATTTCCTTGCAGAATAGCCCGTTTCAGTTGTGTCTTGCTGTAAGGGCTTGGCATTTATTCCCTGCAGTTTGTACAGTATTGTCTGCTCTCTGCTGGGAGAATCAATTCTGTTTCAATGTAACATTTCCTTACTGATTTTTATCCCCTACATGACAAATCAAGGCCTGCTTTTAAAATGATTTCTTTTATCTGCTAATGTCCAGTTGTTAGATAGATGAGTGTTAAGCTCATAGTTGTTTTGATTTGCATCCCTCTCTGATAGCTAGGGATTTTGAACATTTCTTCACGTTTGCCATCTAGATGCCTTCTTTGGTGAAGTGTCTATTCACTTCCTGTGCTCATTTTGTGATTGGGTTATTTTTTTTTTTTTCTTGTTGGGGTGCCCTTGTTCATTTTTTAGTTGGCTGTCTTTTTATTGTTGAATTGTAAGAATTCTTTAGATGCAAATCTCGATACAGTTTTCTTAATTATGATTCACAAGTATATTATCTCATTCTGTGAATTGTCTTCTGTGAGTCGCTTTCCTTTTTTTGGTGAGAAACATTTATATTTAGAATTAGCCAGCTGAACTCAGTTTAAATGATCCCGATTTTGTTGGCACCATCCAAAGCATAATAGAAACAAGTCGAACACAGGCCTCTTTTCTCCATCAGGCTGTTGACCTTGGCCACATCAATGTTTTAGAGATTCTTTACAGCTTCTTTGATTTGGTGCTTGTGGGCCTTGACATCCACAGTGAACACAAGTGTGTTGTTATCTTCTTTTTCATGGCTGACTCAGTGGTCAGGGGAAATTTGATGATGGCATAGTGGTCAAGCTTGTTTCTCCTGGGGGCGCTCTTCCAGGGGTATTTGGGCTGCCTTCGGAGCCTCAGCATCTTAGGCTGCCGAAGGTGGGTGACATGCGGATCTTCTTTTTTTTGTGTGGCTGTCCTTCAGGACTGCCTTCTTGGCCTTTAACGCTTTGCTTTTGCTTTGGCTTCAGTTTTGAGAGGGACAGGGGCTTCCTTCTTCACTTTTGGCACCATCTTTGTAGAAAAAAGCGAGTCACTTTCTTGCTGGTGATCTTTGAATCACACAAGTTTTACATTTTGATAATGTTCAACTTATCAGTTTTTTTCTTTTGCACTGTGGTTTTGGTTTCATATCTAAGAAATGATTGCCTAATCTAAGCCATGAAGAGTTGTGGCTATCTTCCTTTTTCCTCCATAAGATGGTTTTGTAATTTTAACTTTCATATTTAAGTCTTTGATCCATTTTGAGTTGATTTTGAAATATGGAATGAAGTAGAGATCCAACTTCATTTTTTCATATGACTATCCCCTCGTTTCTTGTCCTAAAACCATTTATTGAAAAGACTTTTCCTTTATTGAATTGTCTTGGTACACTTGTGAGGTCAGGGCAATTTTGTGGAATACTTTGTTCTAAGTACTCTATTAGGCATGGAACAAATAAGCAAAATATATCTTTGCCTTTGTACGGCTTCTGTTCTGGCACCTTTAAAAAACATTCTGAAGGGCACTCTGGTGGCCTAGTGGCAAGGATCTGCACTGTAATTCCAGAGGTGCGCAGTTAAATCCACCAGATGCTCTGCTGGAGACGAGGGACAGTCTCCTCCTGTACCAGTCGGATCTGATTTGACGGTACACACACACAAAATGATAAAATTTAAGAAAGAAAAAAAAAGATATTCTGAGAATTACAAGGAAGAAAGACTGGAGAGACAGAGAATACCAGGTGGCATGGGAGCCCCCCTGGGGCTGTGGAAACGTCTAGTGTGCAGTGATGTGGAGGGGCATTGAAGAGATGCTTTGGAGATAGGCTGGGCACACCTGGGTGACTGATGGAAGTGAGGGAGACTCTCTACTGGGCTCAAGATGTCCCCACTTTACCAGGGGAGTTGACTAAGGCTTCCTTTCCTGCCACAACAAAGCATGGGCCTTGGCTGTCTGAGAAGCCGATGAGGAGGTCTGCAGTCTGAGAGAGAGAGAGAGCCACAAGTTACAGCAGGAAAGGCAGCCACCTTCCTATTCCTTCTGTACACCAATTAATGAAGTCAAGTCCAAGGCCAAGGGCAAAAATGCCTTTAAAAGAATGCAGCGGCATCTGTCTGTGTGTTCGTTTAGACAGTCAACATTTTTAAAGAGCCTTCTCTCTGCTAGGGCTGTGTTAGGCCCTTCCCTGCCCTGAGAGTGCTTGATTTCAAGAAGGAACAAGGATGACAAGTGTCGTGGAGGAGGAAACTGAAGCTACCGTCAAAATCTGGAAGGTCCCAGGAGGAACTGAAACAATTTCTTCCTCTTCTTCCCCCCCACTTTTTTTTTTTAGATTTTTTATTGTGATTTGGGTGAAAGAAAGATTGCAGAACAAATTGATTTTCTGTTCATACATGTTTTTTTATTCATGGCATTGATTGCAGTATGACAGCAATCGATCAATATGACAGCAGAAACTCTTCCTGCTTCCTCCTGGTGTTTATTGTTGCATTTGTCCTTTACTATCCCTCCCAGGGAGACCTGGTGGTCTAGTGTAAGAATCCATGCTGCAGTCCCAAAGGGACATGGTTCAAATCCACCAGGTGCTCCGTGGGCAAAGGATGGGCCATCTCCTCCCATGCTATTTATTACCTATGAAAAACCCGCTGGAGGATCCGCTGTGAGTCAGTTCCAGCTCCACAGCCCATCACCACCATCATCACCTGGTTTCAGAGCTTTATTCCTGAGCACATGCTGCACTTTGGATCTCATTGGTTGGTTGGTCTAAAGAACACATACCTTCTCGGTCTCATTGTTCACTGTACTGACCTGTCGTGTGACCAGGGAACTCTGGGGGTTTAATCTTTTGCAAGTGGCGCTGCTAATGCAAAGGCTACGTCTCCAATAGTTCAAATCCATCAGAAGCTCAGAAAGAGAAAGATGGGCAGTCTCTTGACTTACAGCCTTGGAAAGCCAATGGAGGGTTGCTGTGAGTTAGAACTTACTTGATAGCTGTGAGCTTGAAGACTTAAAACAATTATTTGGCTAAAGTTGAGCCATGAGATAGTTTGGCTTTAGGCTTGAAGGCTATCTTTGTTTTTCTTTTTTTTTTTTTAGGGGGCTCAGCTGTTTATTAGGTCAGCAGAAAAGTTACCAGGGAGATCTAAGGTGTGATAATAGAGATGGAGCAGCCTGGGCCCCAGGTCTGACCCCTGTCAGGAGCTCCAGACCTGTGTCTGAATGTGGTCTAGGTGTGTGCATGTGCTCTGAGCTATGCAGTGCTGCCCCCAGAAGGCTGTCTTTAAGGGCTAGTGTCTCAGAGGTTCTACCAGACACTAAGTAAGCCTAGCTTTTTTTTATGATTTTGAGTTTTGGTCTTCATTTTTCTCCTATCTGTTCAGGACCTCTTCCTTTGATCCCATTCAGGACAATTGGTCATAGTTGCTGGGCACTCTCCTGATTCTTCTGGTCTCCGTGTTGTGGAAACTGGGGTTTGCATGGTCCATTAGGCCTTTGGAGGAATTGTTTTCATGTGTCTTGGATTTTCTCCATCCTTCTTTGGTCTGGATAGGAAGAGACCAGTAGTTGTCCCTTAGAGGAACTTCTGAGTATAAGTATATCGTGGAGGTGTTTGGGCTGACCGAGGAAAGGTCTGAGCACTGGGGATGAAGAGCTCAGAGGAGGAAGGGAAAATCACCTCTGTGGTTTCCTTAAACAAGAATCTGAATAGCTAATAGCAATATGTATAGTGACTATAGGGCAAGACTGGAGGCTGAGGCTGTTGCCTTAAATACTGGCTCCATCACTTCTGAGCAGTGTGCCACATTTTCCTCAGTTCCCAGTAAGGTGATCATCATAACAGGCTTTGAGCACCTCTTGGAGTAGGCAGGGTAACTACACGGTCTAGTGCACATAAAGGGCCTTAGAACTGTGATGGGCTACAGTCATGGGTTTTGGTCTTGTACCTGCCCTTGGCCAAAGGTTCAAAGATGGGAGTCCAGCACCAAGGACCTTTAGTGACACAACCAAAGGTATGGAAGACCTGTACTTGCATGGGGAATATTAGAGGAGCCACTGCCCTGCCCTCATCCAGTGACCTCTGAAGATAATCAGAATAAAGGTCCCTGAGTGGCTCAGATAGTTGGTGATCCACTGATAACCAAAAGGTTGCCAGTTTGAACCCTCTCAGAGGTACCTCAGAAGAGCCAAGCCTGGGCTTCTGTTTCCATAGGTATTACAGCCAACCCTCCCCCATAGCCAGTGGAGTCTGCCCAAATGAAAACATAAATAGACATGACATAATGAAGATCATCAGGCTGTGGTTTGGCCTGTCTTCTTATCAACCACACTTGGAGATAGGGCAGGGCTCAGATCTTTGGTCCACCCTGTCACTGCCTCCCCCTTTCTTTCCATATGACATGGTTCTCAGACCCTGACACAGAAACTTTAGGGTCCTGTAAAAATCCCAGATCCCCTTTAGGAGACGCCATAGTACTGTACGGGGGAGTGTAATTGTTTTTAATATGTGCCATTGAGTCAACTGTGACTCATGGCCACTCTGAATCACAGGTCTGAACCTTACCTAGCTTGGGCCATCCTTACCATCTCCAGCGGACTCGAGCCCATTGTTATAATCACCTTGTCAATTTTACACTGACCCTCTGCCTTTCCAAGCATGATGTCCTTCTCCAAGGACGGACCCCTCCCAACAACAGGCCCAATGTAAGGAGAAGAAGGTTCACCATCCTTGCCTCCAAACACCCTCGCCCCCTCACCCGCACAGCTGATCTTCCAGCACCGGCCCTCCAATCCCCTTCAGTGCCTGTGAGAACAGTGTCAGCCTTCTCTTCCACAGCCAGTACATCAAAGCCTGCAAGACTGGCAATATGGACCAGGCCCTATCGCTGTGGTTCCTGCTGGGCTGGCTGGGCGGAGACTCCTGCAACCTCATCGGCTCCTTCCTTGCTCACCAGCTGCCCCTGCAGGTGGGCCTTGGCCTGGTTAGGTGGGGCTATCAGAGACAGTCATGGAAGGGGTGGGACAGGGTGGGGCAGGGAAGGCTGGTAGGTGGTGAAGGTGGGACCTGGTCTGTCCTTTGAAGTGTCCACATGGTAGTGAGCCTTTTGCCCTCTGCTGTGTGGCAGTGGGCCACTCTTTGCCCTATGCTGGGCGCATCTGCAAAATGAGCACTTCTACCAGAGTCTCTCCCACCTTTACCCAGTTGTGATGCTGAATGAGCTCTTGGGAGAGGCCTGGGACCCTGGGTGAGAAGCACTTCCTGGGCACAAGGTCCCTGTCTCCCGTGGCCATGGTCTGCCCAAGTGGGTCTTAATTGCTGCTTTCTCTGGCCACACCAGAGCTGTCACTCAACTCTGTCCTTACCGGCAACATGTGCCACCATTTCTGTCAGTGTCTGCTGTTGCTGGCCCTTTGCCTCCAGGTAGGAACTGTGATCCTCTCTTTTCCAAATGAGAGAACAGAGGGTCCCGGTGGTGAGGTGCTTTTCCCGGTCACTCAGCCAGCAAGTGGCAGAGTGCAGCCTTGTTCTCAGGGTGCGGGCCCTGGGCCCTGGGACTGCAGCCCACCCACGGGGTCCCGGCTTCCTTTGCAGACCTACACAGCCGTGTATTACGTCCTGGCGGACCTCCTGATGCTGACGCTGTACTTTTACTACAAGTACAAGAAGCGCCCCTCCCTGTGTAAGTTCCACCCCTGAGTTCCATGCACTGGGGGCAGCTGGGCGGGTTGGGAGCTCGTTGCCAGGAGAGAAATCAGACTTCAGAATGGCGACTTGCTGAGGCCTTATCCGAAAGCCTGAGCCTGATCAACCCAGATCGAGGACTGGCTACAGGGAGGCCCCACCGCTCAGGTACCAGGCACACCGGGGTGCTGCGGCAGGTTCCAGAGCACCACCAGCCTCCAGCAGATACTGCAGTAAATCAGTCACGAGTATTTTTGTTTCCCAGTACATAGAAAAGTTATCCATGCACTATTTTGTCTTTGATTAAGTATGCAACAGCATTATGAAGCAGTGCTTCTGGGAAACTATCCTGGGCCCAGGTGGTGTTCACTCCAGAGGCTGACACTGTGAGAATTACCAACGTATGACACATGCTGATGGGGAAATGGGGCCCACAGACTTGCTTAGTGCAGGGCTGCCACAAACCTTCGATTTGTGTATTTGAAAAATACATTATCTGCAAAGTGCCGTAAAGCCAAGTGCAGCAAAATGAAGTATGGTCTAGAATCCGTCCACAAGCGGAGCCTTCTCAGCTCCTCATTGGTGGCCTGTCACCCACCCAGGCCCTCTCCGCCCATGAGGATTCAGAAGGGACACGATCAAGGTTAGGTCTGTACATGATGTGGTGGAAGAACTCAGCAAAGGGGATTGGCTGTCACTGCCACTCTTGATGATCTCCCCTCGAAGCCCACAGTTCTCACTGAGCTTTACAGACCTCGCGTGTGAGTGCTGTTAATCTACATGCCTGTGGTCCAGATGAGGATTTGAGGCCCAGAAAGGTCAAGTCACTTGCTTAAGGTCACACAGTGACTAGAGGAACTCAGCTCTCAGGTATGCCACCTCTCTTAGACAGCTCACCTCAGCTTCCCTCCTTCTCCTGTGCAGTGTCTACCCCCATCAATGCTGTGCTCTTGCTCCTCTTGGGGATGGCATTTTCCACCCCGCTGTTGAGCTGGCCTGACCCTGTGGGCTCCCCCAGCGAGGTCTTCCAAGGACGGACGCTCCTGTCAGTGGAACCAGAGAATAAGGTGAGAAGTTGGTGACATGATTGTAGAGGTGAGGGGTGGGGAGGGCTCATCTGGCCACAGGGAGGAATGCAGGGTGGTTACTCCCTTGGAAAGTGCATGGAGCTCTCGCCCTGCACCTCTAGGCCTTTCTAGGCCCTGACCACCCTCTTCCAACCCCTCAGCCCTTCACCAAGCAGGAAATAATTGGCTTTGTCATCGGCTCTATCTCCAGCGTGCTGTACCTGCTCTCCCGGCTGCCTCAGATCTACACCAACGTGAGCCTTGATCGGGGACTTACGGGGTGCAGCAAGTCAGAGACGAGCTAGCCTGGCTGCGCAGGCCTTTGGGGTCAAGAGTGTTGCTTGATGCACAAGCTTTGATATAGAACGTCTCAGCACAGACTCACTGTTGGCTTGTGCGTTAATCCACCTCTCCAAGCCTCAGTTTCTGCCTCTAGAAAATGGGCATCATGATGCTGGCCATTGAGGGGTATATATGACCTGTGCATGTCTGGGGAAAGTAGAATGTCAGGTGAGAGCAAGGGGCAGAGTTAACAGGCCAGAGAGAAACCGAAGAGATGGGGACTTGGGGATGGGGAGGATTGTTGGGCAATGAGAATGTATTGGGCTGGAGAGCAGGGTCCAGGGAGCTTGCTGGTGCAGCCATGTCTATGGGCCTGGAGCATTGTTGGAGTGGGGACAGGGGTCAGACCCAGGAAGGGCTGGTCTGTGTGCCAGACCCTCTGGGCACTAAGCATACAGTGGAAAGTCAGGTCAGGGCATGCACAGTGCAGATGGATACGGGGACAGTTACAGTGCAGCAACAGGACTCCTGTTTGACATATCTGATCCCATGCTCCTCACCCCTAGTTCCTGCGGAAGTCCACCCAGGGCATCTCCTACTCTCTGTTTGCACTGGTGATGCTGGGGAACATGCTGTATGGGCTGAGCGTGATACTCAAAAACCCCGAGGTGGGCCAGAGCGAGGGCAGCTACCTGCTGCACCACCTGCCCTGGCTCGTGGGCAGCCTGGGTGTGCTGCTGCTTGACGGCATCGTATCCTTCTGAGAGCTTGGGGGTGGGGTGGGGCAGGGGGCAGCCTTCTGCCGGACTCATTCCCTGGAACAAGAACATGTCATCAGAAGCCTGACCAGGCTTACAGGGTCAGCAAAGGCTTTGGGGGTGCCATTTAAACGAGGGCCTGAAGGAAGCAAAGGTGTTGAGCAAAGACGAGGGAGGAGTGCTCCAGGCACAGCTTGTGTAAAGGCCCTGAGGAATGAGGGAAAATCAGCCCTTCCAGGCCAGGAATGGAAGCTGGGATGTGGAGAGACATGTGGGTTAGTTAGACAAGCCCGAGTGCAAACCCTGGCTCCTCCACCAGGGTGGGACTCAGCCGGTGTGACAGGGCATGCACAGATGCCCCTATCTGGGACTCTCCCTGTGTGACAGAGGACGGACACAGCTGCTTCCTCCTGGGACTCGCCCCGTGTGACAGGAACACACAGCTCCTCTGACCTCAAGTAACCTACTGAGCTCATTGGGCAGTAGGTGATTCCATAGGATGAGCAGCTTGCTGGAAAACACACAGCACACAAACCAGCATGAACTCAGTACATGCTTGCAGGCGGACTAATCTGGGACGTTGTGGAGTGTCGTCTGAGATCAAGCCAGCATAGTCTTTCTGGGAGGCTCCCCTGGTGCAGTTGGTGAGCTTTGCTGCCTCAGGTGGGTCGGTGCTTCAGACCCACCAGGCACTCTGAAAGGTGGGGCAGTCTGCTTTGGGAAAGATTGACAGCCTTCAAAAGTCTGCCCTGTAGAATGACTGGATGCTTGGATTGGCTCAAGGGCAGCCCGGCTTGGGAATCTTCCTGGAATCAGATTGCCACGTTTTGCTCCCATGCAGCTGCTGATAGATTTGGACCTTTCAGTTCACAGCTCAGCTGCTAAGCCCAACTCCCCTCACCCCCTTGCTTGAATCCCCAGCTGCTGCAAGTAGGGAAGAAGGCGAGGTCTTGGGTGTAGGGACTGGGGAGGCCTCCTGCAGGGAATGGGTAAGTATAGAGCTGAGTACCACTCAGGAGAGGAGCAGAGATAACTGGGCTGAGGAAGGGAGGCATTCTAAGTGGGGACACAGCAGAGCAGAGGCTGGGTGTTGCTGCTGACCCGTCGCACCAGCCAGGTGAAGTGAGGCATGCAGCCCCCCTGGAGTCCCCTATGTCCCAGGAACGGGACCAGCCCAGGCTGCTCCATTTGCCTTGACTTTCCTCCAGATCTCCGTGCAGTTCCTGATTTACAGAAATGCCGCAGCTGCTGTCATCACCTCAGAGAGAGAGCCTCTCCTCCCCAGCTGATCAGGGCCCCCACTGAGCCCAGGATGACAGAGACTGCCAGATGCCACGTGAAAGGAGTGCCAGGCAGCCCAGGATGGTGCTGCTGACTCTGGATCGGGCTGGGAGGCCGACAGCTCCAGCCCAGCTGCTTCTCCCTGTACTTCCAAAACTTCCGAGGGTGACCAGGACCCTCTTCCCAGGAACATGGCTGCCCCAGCCACCCTGTTGGAAGTCTGCCCTGGGAGCCTCTGAGGGGCTGCAGCCAGGGCCTCAGAAGACAGTGCAGCCAGCGGCCCCTCGGGCTCACCTACCTCATTCCTCCTGTTGATCCCACGAGAGCGGGCACAGCCACAGCTGGTGGACCCACACTGTCCTCTCGACTCCAGACATCTTAGTAAATGGAACCTTCCAACAAGGCTTGTTTTCTATGGCTCCTTCTGGTTGGGGCTATTGGTGGAACATCAGTGGACATGGGGATCTGGCCCCCGTGCTAAATGTTTTTGTTGTTGGGTGCCATCACGTTAACTCTGGCTCAACTTTTCATGCAACAGATCGAAATTCTGTTCAGTTCTACCTATCTTCACCATCTCTTCAGTGCTCAGCCTAGTGCTGCAGTCACTGTGTCACTGCATCTCCTGGAGGATCTTCCTCTACTTCTCTGACCATCTTTCCACTCATGATGTCCATTTCCAGGGACTGGCCTCTCCTGACGGCACTCCCAAAGCATGTTATGTCCCACCGTCCTTGCCTCTGAGACGCACGCCGGCTGCACCTCTGAATCAGATTTCGTTGTTCTTTGATAGTCCATGGGAGAGTCAGTACTCTGCCAGCACCACAGTTCAGAGGCTTTGTTTCTTTCTGGTTGTCCTTAAGCTTTAAACTGACTTTGTTCTTTAGCACTTTGGAGAGGTCCTTGACAGCAGATTTGCTCAATTATAACACGTCTTTTTATTTTTTTCACTACTGTTACTATGATGTCGATTGTGGATCCAAACAAAATTAAATCTTTGAACTCCAGTCTTTTCTCCATCTGTTATGATGTTGCCTATTGGTTCAGAAGTGAAAATTTTGTTTTCTTGGTGTTGAAGTGTAATCCATACTGAAGGCAGTAGTTTTTGTTCTTCAGTAAGAGGTTCATGTCAGTTTCTGCAAGCAAGGCTATGTCATTGACATATTGCAGTTTGTTGATGAGTTTTCCTCCAATCCTGATGTCATACTCTTCTTTATATTGTCCAATATCTAGAATAATTTGCTCAGCATACAAATTGAATAGATATGGAGAGAGGATACAACCCTGACACACACCTTTCCTGATTTTAAACCATGCAGTGTTCCCTTGTTCTGTCCCGACAACTGCTTCTCAGATTTTGTATTGGTTTTTCATGAGCACAGTTAAGTGTTCTGAGATTCCTATTCTTGTCACTTTTAGTCATAATTTACACATCAAAAGATAAATAGCATGGTGTTGATTCCAGAGGCCTCACTCTATCTGGCCCACAGTGAGAGCTCAGTAAAGGTGTTGCTGTTGTTAGGTGCCATCAAGTTATAATCAAAAGATGAGCTTCGCTGGGAAAATCTGCCAGGGACCTCGCTAGAATACTAAAAGAGAAGGTTAGCGTAAAGACTTAGGGATGCCCAGCCCAAGCCATGGTCTTCTCAGTTGTCCATCTGAAACTTGGAGAGAGACTAAGGATGAGAGACTAATTGATGCCTTTGAGTTGTGATGTTGGATAATAATATTCAATATTTCATGGACTGCCAAGAGAACAAACAGGTCTGTCTTGGAGAAAGTGCAACCAGAGTGCTCTTTGGAAGTCAGGCTGGTGAAACTTAGTTTCATGTACTTTGGGTTTGTTGGTAGGGGCCAGTCCTTGGAGAAGGACATCATATTTGAAACGGTCAGTTTAAGAGAGGAAGACCTTCTATAAGATGGATTGACACAGTGACTAGCCTTGGGCTGAATTGTGGCGGAGGTGGTGAGGATGGTACAGGATGGAGGCGGCTTCAGATCTACTGTTCATAGGGTCACTATGACTTGTAGTCGACTTGATGGCATAGAACATGAACAGCAGACCACACACTGCCCAGTCTTGTGTCATCTTCACAATTGTTGCTGTGTTTGAGCCAATTTGTGAGCCATTTTGTCTCTCCATTTCATTGAAGGTGGTCTTTTTTTACTTGCATTGGGAAAGTCTGCAGGCAGGGACCTCTCCAGAGTACTGAAAAGCAATGTCAGTCTAGAGATTAAGGTGTGCCTGATCTAGGCCATAATCTTCGTAATTATTTGCTATGCATCAGAAAGCTGGACAATGACTAGGGATGATAGAGAATAGAAGCTTTTGAGCTGTGGTGCTGGAGAGGAATGTTGAAAACAAATAGGTTGGTACTTGACAGGGTGAAACCAGGCTGCTCCGTGGAGGCAGGGATTGTGAGACTTCGTCTGACATACTTTGGACATGTTGCAAGGAGGAACCAGTCCTCGGAGAGGGATGTCATGCTTGGGAGGGTGGAGGGTAGGAGAGGAAGACCCTGATGATGAATCGATTCATTGACTGGGGTAATTGACAGGGTGTAGGTGTGTCAGAGACAGGGTTGGCACAGGATAAAGCAGGGTGCAGGGCTGTTGTACATAGATTACTATGAGTTTGCAAGTGACTTGACAACACATACCAACAACAAAGCATGTCCTTCTCCAGGGTTTGGCTCGTCCCGATGTCCGAAGCACGCGGGCTGCAAGCTCAGCCTCCTTGCTTCCCGGGAGCATTCTGGCTGCACCCCCTTCTTCCAAGACAGCTATATGTTTGATGCCCTGTGCCAACACCATAATTCAAAGGTGTTATTTCTTCTTTAGTCTTCCATATTCATTGTTCAGCTTTTGTATGCATATTGGGGCAGCTGAAAAGACCATAGTTTGGATTAGTTGCACCTTAGTCTACGAGGTGTCATCTTGACTTTGTAACAATTTAAAGGGGCGTTTTGCAGCAGATAGACCCAGTATTGTATGCCCTTTTATTTTCAACTGATTCCAATAAAGATTCTAATAAAGCTAAGTTCTTTTTAGTTGGAGAGGGACAACTATGAGCATCTGACAAAGGGAGCTCTGGTGGCCTGGTGGCAAGAAGCTGCACTGCAATCCCAGAGGTGTGCAGTTCAAATCCACCATATGCTATGCCAGAGAAGGAGGGACAATCTCCTCCTGTACCAGTCAGATCTGATTTGGAGAGGGACAACTATGGATGATAGGCTGAGATAAAGTGCCATGCAGTTAGAGATCAGGGGGAGTGTCCTGAAAAAAGGTGACAGGGAAGATGATGAGTAAGAAACATGGGGACTGTTGTAGCTGGAGGCAGAGGAAGTATAAGAGCAGGACACAGGAAGGAGGGTGGAGCGGCAGGCAGGCCCCACTGGACCTGAGCCCTACACCCTGGTCCATCTCAGCCTGCTGCACAGACCTTGTTTCATTCCACCTCCCAGGAGGCTGTGGTCCTGTATACCTGGGAGACAGGGGCGGCTCCCGTCCCAGCCTGACCTCACCTGCACACACCAACCCAGGCCCAGAAATCCAGGAGCCGGGCGGAGGGAACTCAGGCCGGGTGGGGCCTGGGCCTGGTGGGCACAAGAACAGCACCAGCAGGCTGCAGAGCGAGTTCCTTTAAAAAATCTTCCTATTCCCCTCATCCTGTTTCTGGTGAGTCAACCCTGACTCATAGTGACCCTATAGGCCACGGTGGAGCGGCTTCATAGGGTTTCCAGGACTAAATCTTTATAGAAGCAGATGACGGAATTTTCTCCTGTGGAACACACCTGGCAGTGGAATGTCACCTTTGCTTCAAGGAGCATCAAGGTCCAATCTGCTGAGCCACACGTATTGCTGAGCACTGCCCTCTGTGCTTGCCCACCTGCCCATGCCACCCTGGGGGTCTGGTGTACATGGGTGGGTGGATTGGGTCTCTGCCTTGGGTCTAAGGATTGTAACATGAAGATGCAAAGTGCTGTAGAAACAAGGACACTGGATCAGCACTGGAGAATCAATCCCTGATCTTGATACAGATATTGGACAATTCAGAAAAAAAAAAAAGGTGTGTGTTTGTGCAAAGATGTGTGGGAGTAGGAGTCTGGGCTTGGTGAGGCTCGAGTGTGAGGAGTTTGACAAGACAGTTAGGTGGGGACTAATCAAGAGCCTGGAAACCAGGCCGACACCTGAGGACAAGGCCCTGTGGCAGGGACAGTCAGCAGAGGGTCCTAGCTCTGTGGTTGCTGGGAGGGGGCTGTGTGGGATTAGAACTGGGGCAGGGTGCCTCTAGCCTCACCCCCGTTGGGAATGGCTGCTGGGCCTCTGTGTGTCTCCTGACACACAGCTGATGTTTATAGAGCACTTGGTGGGTGCTGGGCCTTGCTAGGTCTTGTCTCGTTCCTCCTCACGATGCCTCCCACCTCAGGCAGGTAAAGTCATGGCAGCCATTTATATAGATGGGGAGCAGGCTCAGGGAACATGACCTTTGCCCAAGGTCACACAGGAAGGGCAGCTGTTTGAAACACATTAAGTCCCTCAGCAGCTGAATGGCACAAATGGCCAAGCACTCAAACCTACAGTGCCTTGGAGGAAAGACTTGGGGTGAACTGCTTCTACAGGGTCACAGCCTAGAACACTATGGAGCACATCCTGCTCTGCAGACATGGGGTTGCCATGTCTCTGGATTGATGCAACAGCAGGTCTCGACCACAGAGGCCATCCCACACTGCCTTCTAAGGATCCTTCCCCCAAAGGCTGGGATCCAGAGCTGTGCTCACATGTGACCAGGCTCTTTCCCATCATCCCAAGTAACAGCTTCTGCTCACTGGCCAGTCCTTGGTTTCTGCTGGCCTAGATGCCTGACATTATCCACAGCTGTGACCTGGAAGGGTGCCAATTACCTGGGCCAGGTGGGCCCTTCACAGTCTAGGCCTGAACTCAGGCTGGATAGGGAAGAAGATGAAATAATCTCAGTCCATGCAGAGTGGCACTGCTGACCCAAAGGTGGCATCTCTAGTGGTTCCATCAGAGGCTCTGAGGCAATTTACAGCCCTGGAAATGGGCTGGAGGGTTAGCTATTAGTTGGTTCCAACTCAGCAGCAATGAGACATTACTTCATAATCCCTTCCCCTGGAGACTAATCTGGAAGGCTTAGCGCATGCTTTCAGGAATCACCATTGCTGAGAGAGCAAGGTTCTTACCGGAAGCCCCCCAATTTGATGGAGAAGCTTACACTTGATAAAGGAGACATGCCTCATGCCTCTGACGTACAGCCCGCATCTCATCTGGATTCCTCCCCTCTTGACTCTTCATTCTCCTACTTCCAGGAGGGTTCTAATCAGTGAGCTCTTCACCCTCATCAGCTCTGGGGAATTGAAGAAGAGGGAGCCTGTCCCTGGACCTCATAAATTCTTGGACGGACTAGAGAAAGCACCATAGCTGACCTGGCCTGTGTCAAACAAAGGGGATGGGTAGGAGTTCTGCTATTCGGTACCCAGGCTGCGTCCAAGTAGATGGGGAAATGATAAAAAAAAGGAGAAGGCTGGGCAGGCCACAGTCACAAAGCCTATCCCGCCCCACTGGTGTGGAAAGGAATTTACAAAGCCTACTGGACAGGGATTCTGGTGGTCTAGTGGTAAGAATCTGCAGTACAATCCTAAAGACATGTGGTTCAAATCCACTAGCTCTGTGGGAGGATGGTCAACTATGGGCTGGTTCCGACTTGACGGTACACAGTGGTGGATAGGGAGTTGCACTGCCTGAGTTGCTCTGAGGGAGAAAGGTGGGCAGTTTCCTCTTGTGCAATTTACAGCTTCTGAAAACCCACTGGAGAGTCTGCTAAGTTGGTCCCGACTCTCGCAATGAGTAAAGCAAGCGGTGATGAAGGTCCACCATCATCACGGGAGGCAACTCGCCCAGGGCTGCTGGACGGCAGGAGACTACCAAGTGATTTGAATGCATGAAGAAACTTGGGAGATGGAGAAGTCTGGAAAGCTGGGGCTCCAGAGGACCTTGGGAAGAGCCCCAAAAGGAACCTGTTGTCGCTGATTCCAGCCCACTGCAACCCATGTGACAGAATTAAAGATTCCTTGGCAGAAGTCAATCTCTTCTCAGAACCATGGGGTGGGTTTAACCCACTAACTCCTAGGTTATAAAAAAACCAAACCTCAAACTCAGTGCCGTCAAGCTGGAAGCAACTCCTAGCTTCTTGCCACCACTCTTTATTGAGGTTGAGACTGAGAGCAGGAGATAGGACCCTGAGGGGTGTCCAAGGAGTCCTGTCCACGTCATCACACACTGTGTGACTGCATGTGGACCTGGTGACGAAGCTCTGGGGCCATGCAGGAACCCCTTGTTTTCTCTTCACTTGCCATGTGGGTCCTACAGCCCACCTTTGGTCAGGCTCATACCCCACCCCCCACCTTGGAGTCAGTCCTCACAGCCAAGGCCAAGCACGCCAGGAGAGTGAGGCAGGTGAGAAATAACACAAGGCCAATGCGTACTGCGTCCCAGCTTCTTTTTATTTATTTTTTTTGTTTTTTCTTTTTTTTTTTTTTTAAGTATGGAGGCTCAAGTATAAGATGTAGATTTCTGTTTAAGCTTTACAAAAAAAACAAAACAAAATAAAACAAAAAAACTCCTTTGCATTCCGTAAAAATTGACAGAAAAGCACCTGGCCAGAAGAGCAGAACGGTCAGCAGATCCCCACCCCCAACCCGAAAAAGTGGTCTCTGTGGGACAGGGGCGGTCTGCGCAGGACGGCGGCTCTCCTTCCTCAGAGCGGTCCCCTGTCCCCCGATCCCCAACCCCAAGCAACTCCCAAACACACATGGAATCAGATTTCCAGTTTTTCCTCTATCTTTCACACACCACAGTTATTTCATAAAATTTTTTTGTTTTACATTTTTTACACCAATGTAACAAAAAGGTAGGAAGGGAGGCAGACAGTGTATTTTATGCCTATAAATGGGAAGAGGGGAGGAAGGTGGGGTGGGGTGGTCGGATTAAACAGGAAAAAAACAAAACAAAACCCACACGGTCTCTATGGAAATACTGAGTTTCGATAGCAAAATATGGTGGGAAGTAGGCCTCAGAGACGAGAGGGTGTTTATGGGGCTTTAATCTCAGGGAGATGGCGCTGTGCTGTCGATGATGCAAGTTGTTATGTGACCTGTTGGGGAGAGAGGGACGGGGAAAGGGAGCAGAAAACGAGTTTTCTAAGAAAGGAATCTAACGAGTGCATGGCATGTCCGGTTAGCGTGAAGCAGAGGTTTAACATTGCTGCTTTCTCTTCAAAGCCTCCACCAGGTCGTTCTTAAGAGCTTCTTGTTTTGATTTGTCTGCGAACGTCTGCACAGACCTGCAAGGGAGGGAAAAGGCGTGAGTGGCAGGGCTCATTGGGGGATTGCAGCCGCCACAGAGGAGCTGGGGCTGTGGGCAGAGCCGGAAAGCACGACCTCCCAGACAGCGGTCCCAGCAAGCGATCTGGTACTCTGCATGAACGATGCTGGAGCCCACACAGGCTGTGGTGATCTGGCTGCAGCGATCAGAACCCCTAAACCATCCCTGTGGGCACGGGCCCCAGTGTCAGTTGATGGGCTTATGAGCACAATGCAGCTAAGATCCTCTGGGTCAGGTCAGCCAATCATGTTTCTGGCTGGTGGGGAACTCAGGCCAAGACTGAAAGGTGAAGGTTCTGGGTCATCAGGACCCCTCTATTTAGCTCCCATGCACCCCACCTCAGCCCAGCAGAGGCTCCCCCTCACCTGCAGGGGTGTTGCACCTGGCAAATATCTGAAACTGATCCCTGTGTGCACAGGAGCAGCAGGCCAGCAGGGCAATACGCCACAGCCAGGGGCTCAGGCTCCTGCTGTAAAGCCTCACCATGTTACCTTACCACATTGCCACACACTTTTAAATTGACAACTGTGCTTAAAAACACATTTGTCGTCATTTGTGGCAACGTGTTAACTAAGAAAACCCCTCAGCCTGAATTACTGACTACAGCTATTTGCATGCACCAACTCTGTTCACAAAGCTAAGAAAAACACCAACGTCTAGAATGATTTCACCACTTACAAAGTGCTTCAAAACTCTCGTAAGCATCCTGAAGAGTCTTCCTATTATTTCCAATTTAAAAATGAGGACATTTAGGCTCAGAAAACGAAGTATCTACTAAAAATATCTTAAATTACTCTGTCAAATTTACCAAATGTGCTGGCTAACAAAACATTCAACTTCTATAGCCTTACAACATTTTAAAGCATCTAGAAGACAGGATGACATGGAGCAGAATTGTTACAGACAGTTTACATGACAAAACTCAAATTTGAGATGCACCAAGAAAAACAGGAAGGATCAAAAAATAGCAGGCCCACAAATGAGCAGTAAAATAACAAATCCTACAAATTCTGACTACTGAATCTTACAAAAATCATGGCAACAGTTCTCTACCTAGTAAAAGGTTAACTTCTAAAGAACCAAAAAACCAACCAAACAACTTAAAAAAATCTGATGAGAAATGTTGGCATTTGGGGTTGGCAAATGGTGTTAGCCAGCTATTTCTGAGTATCTGGCATGTGGGCCTGCTGTGGCCCTAGCTCCAGGGTAGCCACAGACACGGCTGGGACCCCAACCCAACCAGCTCCCTGCTCCAAATCCCAGCTCCTCTCCCTGCAGAGCTCACCCTTGAGGCTTTGCTCAGGCCTGGGCTGTGCTCAGCCTCCCAGCCCAACAGGAGAACATTTCAACCAGAATCAGGTGAGATGGGATATTAGGCTCGAACAACTGAAACATAAAGAACTCTGGACTCATTTAGGCAAAGTCAGTGCAGGTGACCTCAACCTGCGTCTGGAGAAAGCACTTGACTTCCCCTAGGAAGAATGAAGATCTCCAAGGGGAAGAGTGTCCCACTGCAGAAGATGGTCTCTGGGCAGAAAACTTCAGCGGTGGCCTTGGGCCAGTCAAGGCTGGTTATCCAGGCGCAGGAAGAGGAGGAGACTCCACTGTCACAAAACAATTTAAAGGGAGCAAGGGATTTCTCAGTCCCACAACTGATCTGAAACCAACACAGACAAACTGGCTGCCTTGCTAAAACCCAGGACGAAGGGAGGAGCCACTCCACCTGGAGACAGCACAGCCGCTTACCCTGACACCCTCTGGAAATCCCATCGAGTCTCTTCCCGGTCAAGCCTTCAGGCCCAGAAGCGGGGTCTACGAGGTGACCCTAACCAGCTGGGTTTCTGAACATTTTGTTTTGTTTTGTTTCTTCCCTCCTGGGTATGATGTTTTCAAGCATCTCTATCTGCCACAGCTCCAGTCATGGTTGCTGGCCATTATCAACAAGATGACTTTTCAGCATCCACCCTGTGCTCCACCCTCAGGTTCACCAAGGGATCACCATCCCTTTTTAAGCCTGTAGCCCCAATCAATATCCCACTGAAGAGGGGTTATTTGCTTCTGAGGTGCTTGGTAAAAAGATGGGGCAGGAGCAGCTGCAGAGACTCCAGGTTCAGACTCCCTCCCTGAAGCACGTGGGTGGGGTGGGGGCTTCCAGACCCTTGCTCTGCTGGCCAATGGGATGAGCGCAGACAAGTGGCTTTTGCTGGAGGGGCAACGTCAACTCCTCTCCTGGCTTCTTCAGGAGCTGAGCAGAGAGCCCCCACAGCCACCCTTGGCCCACCCAGAGTGCAAAACACACACACACCACACACGTGACTTGTCTCCCTGTTACTTGGGCCCAGACTAGTTAATGTGGCTATTCCCCAGCCACAGGGGACCCGGGGTTAGTGCTATTTTAAGTGGCTGCAGCAACAGCCAGACCAGCAAGGGGCGCGTGAGTAGGTGAGTCCTGTTTAGTGGGGAGGGCGCTCACGCCTCTCAGGCAGTGTACCTGGATCGGCTTAATTGTCAGGCTGGATGTAGATCTGGCGCTGAGTCAGCACTTGAGAAAGCTCCCTCTGCAACTGCTTAAACTTTTGGTTGTCAGGGATAGCATCAATAGATCTACAGAGAGTGTTTGGAATAAGAGAAGCAAGGAGGAGAACCGAGGACACAGGATGGGACGACAGTGAGGAAGGGACAAAGGGGACACATAGGAGGCAGAAGAAAGAAGGGAAAGCTGTCAAAGACCCTGGCCACTTGGGCTGAAGGGGGACTTTGTGGCTGGAGAAGTCACTCTGGCTGGGTGGTCACTATAACTTCCAGGCCTTAGAAGTGCCACACACAAGCTCCTCTGCTTAACTCCCTGCTAGTGGGGGCTGTGTGGGGTGCACTGGTGGGAAAGCCACAGAGGCCTGATATTTGTGAGAATAGGGCGCAGACCAGACACAGGTGACATGGGAGGCCAAGGTCCTATGGCAGGAGAGGAATGTGGTCAAGGAGGATAAAGAACCAACGAGGGGCCAGACCAAGTTCCCCACAGGGGACAGGAAAATAAGGAGACCTTCTCTACTTTAAAACTAGAGTGGACAACTTAAATCCACATTTAGCAGCCATGCAGCTTCTTGCTTCCCTTTTAGGTCAGCTACAAGACTGGCCATCACACGACGGAAATCAAGGGCATCAACCCGTCAACAGTCCTGCCTCCTCGACTGCACGAGGGCCTGACCAAACTCAAGGCTCACCCCCAAATGGCCCACCTTCCTCTCTTCAGGCCCAGTCCACTGCAGACCTTGGGCCCGGAGAGCCCTACTCAATCTGCTCTCTGCCAATGCCACCAAACTGAGGGCATGAGATGGCCAGGAAGGGACAATTCAGGACCCCGGCTACAGTGAGCAGAGCCTTGGCAGGGGACATCAGAGGGGCTGGAGACCCCTGCGACAGTGCAGCAGGAGGACCAGCAGCCTGCGCTTCCTCCTATGGTTTAGGGGTCTGGTTTGGAGGTACCCTCGGGGCCAAGAGCCCGAGGGGCCAGGCAGGTCCTTCTGAGGGCACTGAGAAACTGAGGACCCAGGAAGAGGTGACTCCAGCTGCTTAGGGAAAAGAACTCCAGAAAGCACTAATGGGAGGGAAGGAGCAGTATCTATGGAGCTGGCCAGCTATGGCCTTTTATACTCAACCCTTCTCATCTGGACATCAGTTCTACGGGGTGGGAATGTCAGCGCTGTTTTCACAGGTGAGGAAGAGGAGGAGTAGATTCAGGGTTCAAATATGCATCTCTTTGAGCAGTAGATTCAGGGTTCTAAAGCTTATGTCTTTTTGCTTCATTTACCTTAGCCCATTGACGATATCCTTTGTTTTTCCGAAGTAGATCTCATTCAGCGTACTTCTGATTTTGTTTTCCATGTCCTGGGAGGAGAAGGCAGTCAGACACCCAGCAGCGACACCCTGGGGACGGCCAGCTCACTCTGCAGTCCCTGTTGTGGCCACCAGGGGGAGCTGTACGCCCATGCCAAAGCTGCGGCAGCAGCGCGCGCTCCAGGCTCACCAAAACCCACCTCTAATCTGAGCTCTGTGCTTTCAGGCTGGGAGGAAGTCAATACCAGGTACTGGCGGCCAACTATGACCATTCCTGTGAGTTCATCTAAACCACAACACCACTCCTCAACTTTCCCACCAATTTTGTGAACAATTCTGTGAAACCAGAGAGCACCTCCCTTCTTCCAAAACAACGTGGTGACAGGAAGGCTGAGGCAGCTGCAACTGAAGTTCCTCCAGAGCCCATGCCTGTTCCAGGGATCTGTTTCCTTTTAGAGCCTGAGTCTCTGTTCACACCCACAGACCGGGGAGACAGAACTCTGCACTTCCCAGAGCCAACAGCCAAGTGGAGCCTTGTGGGAGCATGTGTGGGGTTGAGTGGGGGTCTCTCTGGACAGTCATTAGAGGGTCAGGTAACAGGGGGCAGAGCAAAACGTGTGCAGTGTACTGGCGGCTACTATGGAGCGAGAGAGCAAAGCACCACACCAGTGAACAGGCGTCAGGGGCAAAATGGCACATGCTGTTGTGGTAACAGGAAAAAGCGGGATCAGAGCCCAGAAGGCCACTCACCTCTACCAGGCGCCCGATGTTGGCTATGTGTGGGGAGGAGTCACTCACAGTTTCATCTTTCTCCATCTGCAAACAACACAAACATGCCTCTTAGGGTGTACTGGAGCTCCCCAAGGAGCTGGAAGCTGTACCCCAGCATGGCCCTGCTGCCCCGCTGGAGGCTGTGTCCGACATGGCCCTGCTGCCCCGCTGGAGGCTGTGTCCGACATGGACCTGCTGGTTCCCCTGACACGGCCCTGCTGCCCCCCCTGGAGGCTGTGCCCCAGCACGGCCCTGCTGCTCCTCTGGAGGCTCTGGGGAGTCAGGTGCAGGTGTTACAGGGCCACTTTCCTAGCAGTGTGAAACGAAGCACAGACAGCTCAATCAGAAGACCAAAGGCCTGTGTTCAGAGATTTTTCGCTGCTGTCTTTGGTGAACAGCTTCTGCCAGGCCCCCACAGAGAGGGCAGAGTTGAGTACCCTTACTAGGATCAAGCAGAGATGATGTCTGTGGTTTGTCTTACTGTGTGTGCAGCCACAGGGAGCCTGTCCTGACTGGAGGCCTGACAACACAGGTGAAGTCTCCAATGTGCCAAGTCACCCCTACACCTTCACCACCTTGTTTGGGACTTGTGGACACTGTGTGTTAGCCTTCAGGTAAGGACGGACTACCCAGGTTGAGCGAGGATTTAAGAGGCCTGGAGAGGTGAAGTGATTTGCCCAAGATCACACAGGCAGTAAATGGCAGAACCTGGGTTAACCCTTTTCTTCCACTAGAGCTACAGCAGATTATTTCCACTCAGAAGTTTTGGGATTGATGGTGTCACTGGGGGAATGGGAGCAAGTGGATACTAAACTGTGATGTGGTGGGGTGGTTTTATTTTTGTTTTTAAAAGACTGCTGCACTTAAATTTTTCCATGGGGTGGGGTTTCTGAGGAGGCAAGGACCAGCAATGTGAGTTTCCAGTCTCTTCTTCCCGAGTCCAGGCAGAGTCTATTCTGGTTCAATAATCAAGACTGAGTATTAAACAGTGATGAGCAGAGAGAACTCAATGCTCTTGACATGACGCCTGGCTTGGGAATTCCGCATTTCTCCCCTGGAATTATAAATTCCTTAAGGACATGTTTATCTGCTATATATTCTTAGAGGCAGAGGTTAAGAGTATATATTATGCTCAATGTTACCAACCTGAAACTACAAACACCGAGCCACCACTATTACTACTAATGCGGACGCAGAAATATTAGGAAGAGAAGATCAGGAACACTGGAGTTCAAAATGCATACAAACTAGCAAAATAAAAGAACCCCAAAACCCCAAAGACAAGGGGGGAGGGGAATGTTTTTCAAAGCAAAGACAGGTGTACAAATCTCAGTTTGTGTCCCAGTTCTCATATTCTCAGGGTACATTATAAGTAGTGGAATAGCTGGGTCATATGGAATTTCTATGTTCAGCTTTTTTGAGGAAGCACCAAACTGCCTTCCAGAATGGTTGCACCATTTTACAATCCCACCAACAATCTGTAAGAGTTCCTTTCTTGCTACATCCTCTCCAACATCTATTACTTGCTGCCCAGTTAAACTTTACCACTGTTACTGGAGTGAGATGGGTTTATAGCAGCCATTATTCACCATCCCAAATGTCCAACCACAAATGAATGGATTGAGAAATTATGGTACATTCACACAATGGAATACTATGCAGCACGCAGGAGTAATAACTTTGTAAATTATTATCTAACGTGGGAGGGACTGGAAAGCATTATGTTGAGTGAACTCAGTCCCACAAGGATAAATATTTGTATAAAACCTTAATTGTAGAATGAATATAAGGATCTAAGAGGGCGGGAAAGGCTGGAAGTAGAGGGATGTGCACGGGGTGGGGGAATTAATCATTGGGTTGTACAATTTGATGGACGGGGGTGAGGGAAATGAAAAAAAAAAAAAAATCTGAAAGAATTTGTTCCCATTTGTATTCGAGTTTTGTAAATAAACTAGTAGAAAAAACCCCCAATGTATATGAACTTTGTAAGCAAACCAGTATAAAATAAAAAAAAAAAACCTATTAAAAAACAACAAGAAAAAAAGGCAAGGACAGGGCCGACAACGGGGAGAACCACGTGTGGATGGCTCGTGCTGTTTCTCGCTATTGTTACTGTCTTTTCTATCTTGGAGAAGTTTCTAGAACGGGACAGCAGAACAGACCCAGTTACGAAGGAGTGGAAGCCAAAAATGGGCAGAGAGAGATGAAGCCACTTTAAATGGCTGAGCTCCTGGGTTGGACAGAACCACAGCACACCCAGAAGGGCTCAGCACACAGGACGAAGATCAGTCTGGCCCTATGTGCTTAGTGTGACACTGATGTAGACAACAATACCTGCCGGGAAGGTCAGAAATCACCTGCTGGCATATTTTATGATCAAGCCCTCCAGGAGCCCAATGGGCTCACTGTGAACAAGTTCTGCCCCTGGAGCTCGAACCTCCCACTTTGATGAGGTGCTGTGCTAGAAGAACAGAGAACTACTTGGATATGATAATATTCTTCTGCAGGATCCTTTCCTCCTGTAGCCTTGCCAGGATACGAGGTTAAATAATGGACAACTCAGACTGATCCTCCGCCAACAGTCTTGGTGCCAACCTTCTGGGGTGACCACCTCTACACATCCTGCAGGGTTCTCTCCCTGGTCTTAGCCAACTTGGCTGCTGAGGTCTTAAAGAAAGTCACGGCTGAGGGTTTATGACCATCATCTTGATAGCACCAGGGGCCAAAAGCATAGGTTAGTGACCAGTACAATAGCTCTCAAAACTCACTGCTGTGGAGTCGGATCTGACAAATGGCTGACCCTCCAGTGGGTTTTCAAGAGGCTGTAAATCACAGAGGAGGAGACAGCCCCTATTTCTTCCCTGGAGGGGCTGGTATCTGAATCACTGGAGTGGCGCCACCTGTGGTTTAGCAGCATGACTCCCTATCAACTGCACCACCAGAGTCCAACGGGAGCTCTCCCCTAAGGAGTGCTTGCCTGAGAACTCTCTGATACAGCCCAAGAAGCCGAAGCCTAAAGGTATCAAACAGTCGTCCCAGATCACCCAGCCCTGGCTGATTCTAATGCCTCTGCTCTTCCTACTGCAACACACTGAATAAACTTACGGGGCAAAAGTAAACTAGATATCCGGGCTCAACTGTTAGTCGTTCTTAGTACAAAATGAGAATACTGGACTTGCAAACAGGTGCTGTGAAAGACACTTGTGGTTTTGAGAAGATTTCTAGCTTGATAAGGTTGTGATGTGGTTGCTATGACAGCTTTAAAGTCAGTCCTTGGGCACAGATGGAACTGTGACTAGCGCCCCACCAGGCAGGCACCTTACTCATGCCCTTGCCAGATGAAGAAAAGCTACAGTACAAAACCTTGTAGAAAACCTTGAGTACTAGCTTCTGCTCCCTCCCCGCTGGCCCTGCCACATCTGCAGAGTTAAGCTCAGTGCAGAGCACTGGGTGTTAAAGAATCATGGAAAAGCTTCAGCGAACCTGCATTAACCCCAAGAAATGTGACAGAACTTGAGATACTAAGGACCGAGGAGTGGAGCCCTGGGAGATGCTGGCTGACTCTGAAGGCCTGTCAGCCAGGGGACATAGTATGTCATTACAGAGAGAGCATGAAACAGCTCAGGGCACCCATCATGGGATTCCTGACTTGGGCTCAGTATGTGCTAACAAAAAGAGCCGTAAAAGGCATCTGTTCATAAAGCAGTGAGATCCAGATCACTGGAGAGTTCTAGAAGAAGTAGAGTGGCCATGTGTCATCCAAAAATGTGTCTGGATTAGAGGGACAGTTTTGAGTTGATGCCCTCACAAGGCCCTGCAAGAGTAAAGCTCCACAGAGGAAAGAGGCCGGATCACACGGAACAGAGGGGAGAAATGCTGGAATGACCAGCCTTCTCTGTCTCCACAGTCCTGGGTCCTGAACTTTTTCAGGCACTCTTTGGTGAGCTCTGCCATGGAGACAACAAGAAAGGTGAATAAGCCTGGGGAGTGTTAAACCTCAGATTCCAAGGGGGTGGTTCACCACAAAAGCGTAGTGAGTGTGCCATGACCTTGAAATGATGGCTACTTCCCATCATTTCAGCACTAATAAATACTCCACCCTAGGCGGAACTGCAGGGTTTGCTGGAACATCCTCTTCCCTTATGAAAACTCTGTTGCCAAGACAACTGGTGTGTGTATAAGATGAACAAGAGTTGGGGCACAGACTCAGGAAGAAGGAGCGGGCCTCATCCACCCAGCCCCAGACTGTGTGTTCTCTCACCACATGGAAATGGTCACTGTGCCCAGACTGAGGGTTGCTCAAAGAGCTGCTTGCAGAGCCTGTGGGTCAGATCCACATGAATTATGTCCTTCCAGTAGGTAATGGTCCTCTCCTTCCCCAGTTCCAAACAGAGGGCAAATTTCTAGCAACCCAGAGAAGAGGACTCGCCGCTTCACTGGTGGCACTCTTTTAAAGGAGGACCCTGGGCCCAAAGTGAGGCCAGGACTGCCAGCGAAGACCCCTGGACCAATTCAGCTTCCTGATTATCATCTTTGTGCTTGAGAATCAAGAGCCAGACATGAAGGCTGAAACCACTGGATGACTGAAAGTAGTCTGGGGGTGATGGAGGGAGAACAAGGCAGCAGAGGCTCTTCTATTGTCCAAAAATACATGCAGTCCCCTCATCTGCAGAACTGACTACCTAGGAGAAGACAGGGAACTTGAATCCCCACAGGAGGTCTGAGAGGTGGCAGAGGAAGGAAGAAAGGGGGCAGGGAGAGCTCCTGGGCACAGATATGTTTCCACAGCCTCTCTGCCTACAACCCCTGCTGACTTCCCCTCCACACCTGGTCGGGGTCAGATCACTGGCAGTGCTGACCAGCCAAAAATATAGAGCTATTTTTGCAATGCATATATTATTACATCCTTATAAAAGTGGCTGCCAGAAGGAAAACATTTTTTATGTGCTGTGGCCACACAGATGTTCCACAGGGTGATTCCAATGAAGACAAGTCAGGGCCCGGCCAGCTACCCCCAACAAACACCCTGGGGCATCTTGCCTGCC